CCGTGGTTTGTTTACATGCTATATCTCGTCTTGAAGGTATCTTGTTATGAAAAATTCCTGATTTTTTTTGACATGTATGGAGAGCTAGTTAGTCAGGCTACAACATCCAATAAGTTTGAAGTCCATAGACCCAATACTCGTGGAGAAAATGAGACATAAGCAAGAATATTTTGCCCGAGTTTATTTCTGTGTGTAAATTGCCATAGAGTAGGCTGTCAGCGGGCTTCACTCCGTGGTTTGTTTACATGCTATATCTCGTCTTGAAGGTATCTTGTTATAAAAAATTCCTGATTTTTTTGACATGTATGGAGAGCTAGTTAGTCAGGCTACAACATCCAACAAGTTTGAAGTCCATAGACCCAATACTCGTGGAGAAAATGAGACATAAGCAAGAATATTTTGCCCGAGTTTATTTCTGTGTGTAAATTGCCATAGAGTAGGCTGTCAGCAGGCTTCACTCCGTGGTTTGTTTACATGCTATATCTCGTCTTGAAGGTATCTTGTTATAAAAAATTCCTGATTTTTTTGACATGTATGGAGAGCTAGTTAGTCAGGCTACAACGTCCAACAAGTTTGAAGTCCATAGACCCAATACTCGTGGAGAAAATGAGACATAAGCAAGAATATTTTGCCCGAGTTTATTTCTGTGTGGAAATTGCCATAGAGTAGGCTGTCAGCGGGCTTCACTCCATGGTTTGTTTACATGCTATATCTCGTCTTGGAGGTATCTTGTTATTAAAAACTTCTAATTTTTTTGACATGTATGGAGAGCTAGTTAGTCAGGCTACAACATCCAACAAGTTTGAAGTCCATAGACCCAATACTCGTGGAGAAAATGAGACATAGGAAAGAATATTTTGCCCGAGTTTATTTCTGTGTGGAAATTGCCATAGAGTAGGCTGTCAGCGGGCTTCACTCCGTGGTTTGTTTACATGCTATATCTCGTCTTGAAGGTATCTTGTTATAAAAAATTCCTGATTTTTTTGACATGTATGGAGAGCTAGTTAGTCAGGCTACAACGTCCAACAAGTTTGAAGTCCATAGACCCAATACTCGTGGAGAAAATGAGACATAAGCAAGAATATTTTGCCCGAGTTTATTTCTGTGTGGAAATTGCCATAGAGTAGGCTGTCAGCGGGCTTCACTCCATGGTTTGTTTACATGCTATATCTCGTCTTGGAGGTATCTTGTTATTAAAAACTTCTAATTTTTTTGACATGTATGGAGAGCTAGTTAGTCAGGCTACAACATCCAACAAGTTTGAAGTCCATAGACCCAATACTCGTGGAGAAAATGAGACATAGGAAAGAATATTTTGCCCGAGTTTATTTCTGTGTGGAAATTGCCATAGAGTAGGCTGTCAGCGGGCTTCACTCCGTGGTTTGTTTACATGCTATATCTCGTCTTGAAGGTATCTTGTTATGTAAAAATTTCTAATTTTTTTGACATGTATGGAGAGCTAGTTAGTCAGGCTACAACGTCCAACAAGTTTGAAGTCCATAGACCCAAATCTCGTGGAGAAAATGAGACAGCAAGAATATTTTGCCCGAGTTTATTTCTGTGTGTAAATTGCCATAGAGTAGGCTGTCAGCGGGCTTCACTAAGTGGTTTGTTTACATGCTATATCTCGTCTTGAAGGTATCTTGTTATAAAAAATTCCTGATTTTTATGACATGTATGGAGAGCTAGTTAGTCAGGCTACAACATCCAACAAGTTTGAAGTCCATAGACCCAATACTCGTGGAGACAATGAGACATAAGCAAGAATATTTTGCCCGAGTTTATTTCTGTGTGTAAATTGCCATAGAGTAGGCTGTCAGCGGGCTTCACTCCGTGGTTTGTTTACATGCTATATCTCGTCTTGAAGGTATCTTGTTATAAAAAATTCCTGATTTTTTTGACATGTATGGAGAGCTAGTTAGTCAGGCTACAACGTCCAACAAGTTTGAAGTCCATAGACCCAATACTCGTGGAGAAAATGAGACATAAGCAAGAATATTTTGCCCGAGTTTATTTCTGTGTGTAAATTGCCATAGAGTAGGCTGTCAGCGGGCTTCACTCCGTGGTTTGTTTACATGCTATATCTCGTCTTGAAGGTATCTTGTTATGAAAAATTCCTGATTTTTTTGACATGTATGGAGAGCTAGTTAGTCAGGCTACAACATCCAACAAGTTTGAAATCCATAGACCCAATACTCGTGGAGAAAATGAGACATAGGAAAGAATATTTTGCCCGAGTTTATTTCTGTGTGTAAATTGCCATAGAGTAGGCTGTCAGCGGGCTTCACTCCGTGGTTTGTTTACATGCTATATCTCGTCTTGAAGGTATCTTGTTATGTAAAAATTTCTAATTTTTTTGACATGTATGGAGAGCTAGTTAGTCAGGCTACAACGTCCAACAAGTTTGAAGTCCATAGACCCAAATCTCGTGGAGAAAATGAGACATAAGCAAGAATATTTTGCCCGAGTTTATTTCTGTGTGTAAATTGCCATAGAGTAGGCTGTCAGCGGGCTTCACTCCGTGGTTTGTTTACATGCTATATCTCGTCTTGAAGGTATCTTGTTATAAAAAAATCCTGATTGTTTTGACATGTATGGAGAGCTAGTTAGTCAGGCTACAACATCCAACAAGTTTGAAGTCCATAGACCCAATACTCGTGGAGAAAATGAGACATAAGCAAGAATATTTTGCCCGAGTTTATTTCTGTGTGTAAATTGCCATAGAGTAGGCTGTCAGCGGGCTTCACTCCGTGGTTTGTTTACATACTATATCTCGTCTTGAAGGTATCTTGTTATGAAAAATTCCTAATATTTTTGACATGTATGGAGAGCTAGTTAGTCAGGCTACAACGTCCAACAAGTTAGAAGTCCATATACCCAAATCTCGTGGAGAAAATGAGACATAAGCAAGAATATTTTGCCCGAGTTTATTTCTGTGTGTAAATTGCCATAGAGTAGGCTGTCAGCGGGCTTTACTCCGTGGTTTGTTTACATACTATAACTCGTCTTGGAGGTATCTTGTTATGAAAAATTCCTGATTTTTTGACATGTATGGAGAGCTAGTTAGTCAGGCTACAACGTCCAACAAGTTTGAAGTCCATAGACCCAATACTCTTGGAGAAAATGAGACATAAGCAAGAATATTTTGCCCGAGTTTATTTCTGTGTGTAAATTGCCATAGAGTAGGCTGTCAGCAGGCTTCACTCCGTGGTTTGTTTACATGCTATATCTCGTCTTGAAGGTATCTTGTTATTAAAAATCCTGATTTTTTTTGACATGTATGGAGAGCTAGTTAGTCAGGCTACAACGTCCAACAAGTTTGAAGTCCATAGACCCAATACTCGCCGACAAAATGAGACATAAGCAAGAATATTTTGCCCGAGTTTATATCTGTGTGTAAATTGCCATAGAGTAGGCTGTCAGCGGGCTTCACTTCGTGGTTTGTTTACATGCTATATCTCGTCTTGAAGGTATCTTGTTATTAAAAATTCCTGATTTTTTGACATGTATGGAGAGCTAATTAGTCAGGCTACAACGTCCAACAAGTTTGAAGTCCATAGACCCAACACTCGTGGAGAAAATGGGACATAAGCAAGAATATTTTGCCCGAGTTTATTTCTGTGTGTAAATTGCCATAGAGTAGGCTGTCAGCGGGCTTCACTCCGTGGTTTGTTTACATGTTATATCTCGTCTTGAAGGTATCTTGTTATAAAAAACTCCTGATTTTTTTGACATGTATGGAGAGCTAGTTAGTCAGGCTACAACGTCCAACAAGTTTGAAGTCCATAGACCCAATACTCGTGGAGAAAATGAGACATAAGCTTGAATATTTTGCCCGAGTTTCTTTCTGTGTGTAAATTGCCATAGAGTAGAAAATGAGACATAAGCAAGAATATTGCAAAAAACAAGAATCGGGAAATATATACTTGCAAAAAACAAGACTCGGGAAACATATACTTGCAAAAAACAAGACTCGGGAAATATATACTTGCAAAAAACAAGACTCGGGAAACATATACTTGTAAAAAACAAGACTGTTACTAAAAATAGACTTCACAAAAACAAGACTCGCGAAACATACTTGCAAAAAACAAGACTCGGGAAACATATACTTGCAAAAAACAAGACTCGGGAAACATATACTTGCAAAAAACAAGACTCGGGAAATATATACTTGCAAAAAACAAGACTCGGGAAACATATACTTGCAAAAAACAAGACTGTTACTAAAAATAGACTTCACAAAAACAAGACTCGCGAAACATACTTGCAAAAAACAAGACTCGGGAAACATATACTTGCCAAAAACAAGACTCGGGAAACATATACTTGCAAAAAACAAGACTCGGGAAACATATACTTGCAAAAAACAAGACTCGGGAAATATATACTTGCAAAAAACAAGACTCGGGAAACATATACTTGCAAAAAACAAGACTGTTACTAAAAATAGACTTCACAAAAACAAGACTCGCGAAACATACTTACAAAAAACAAGATTTGCCAAATTTATACTTGCAAAAAACAAGACTCGGGAAACATATACTTGCAAAAAACAAGACTCGGGAAATATATACTTGCAAAAAACAAGACTCGGGAAACATATACTTGCAAAAAACAAGATTCGCCAAACATATACATCCAAAAAACAAGACTTGCTAAACATATACATCCGAAAAACAAGATTCACCAAACATATTCATCCGAAAAACAAGATTCCCCAAACATATTCATCCGAAAAACAAGATTCCCCAAACATATACATCTGAAAAACAAGATTCACCAAACATATATTTGCCAAAGAGCAATTTATACATTCGATGGCACTAACGGGCTTTCGTACATAATAAAGAAAAACACACAACAAACTTTTTTATAACGAAACACTTCCAGGCTAAATTATCAACGCTAAGCCAGTGAATGACTTGATCAAGTCTAAACCATCCTCGCACGGCGCCCTCGTGTGGTACGAAACCCATTTTCCTTCGGATCTTTCTGCTGATACATGTGATATGACATGTATGATGCATGACCTGCATGACCTGTGGCGTTTGAGTAACATCGACCGCTAAGCCGCGATCGATTGAATCTTGATCATCCGAGACTAGCACCGTCGATTGATCATCAAATCAAAACTCACACATCTCCAAAAAATGAGGACGGGCCTAAATTTCTTTATCCGCTTCGCTTTTCCTTCCCAAGAAGCAGTTGAGCATAGAGAAAATTTTATTTCTAAGTTATAAGTTGTCCAATTTCCGGACAGGTAAGCCTAACGTTAACTTAAGTTAAAATGACGGATGTTGTGCGCTTTCTTGAAAATCACACAATCTTAAGAATGAGCGTACATTCTTAAGATAAGAATGAGCACGCATTCTTAAGAATGAGCACGCAATCTGAAGAATGAGCGCTCATTCTTAAGATTGCGTGGGAATATCTCGTGCGCAATTGATGAATTTTACGCAATCTTATTCTTAACAAACAATTGCACGGCATAATTATGTTAAATGAAATGTATAGCGGTTAAAGGGGAAATAATTCATATGAAGAAAGAAAACGATCTATGCTCCTGTACTCATAACTACGATAATTTGAATCAAATTAAACCTGTTATTATTGCAACCGTTTTTTTTCTGCCCACCCGGCACTAGGCACTATGGGAAGTTTTGTAATAACGGAGGACTGGGAACAAGTCTGGGAAGTGCTTTGTTTAGGCTAGACAAGTTACAAGTCCCTATATGTATCATATGCATATCACAAAAAAAAACGATGTCCAGAAGCTGCCAAAATTGCTCTTTTGACTAGGCCTACCGGTACTTGGTAGATAAGCTCTGCAGCGTAACTATGGGGGTGTGAACACTGAACAATAGCAATTTAAGTGGCAAATAGCATAAGCGCTATGGGATGTTGCAGTATTCATTCTCATTCTCGCCCCCCCCCCCCTTTTAATTGTTACCCCAAAAATCAGCATTCGTCCCACTTGTCTCTTATTTTTTCCCGGTCTTTTCCTAGGTAAGTGACCTTGCGTTGCAGTGACCTAATTCTTAACAATTGTACTGTTGCAATGCAAGGCTTGCATTGCAACAGTACAATTGTTAAGAATTAGTGAATGAGGATGCAGCTAGACTTGCTGCAGCGCAGCCGGTGCTCGGCATCGACAAGACTGTTATCTTGCCGTGCATTCTTAAGAATGTGCGCTCAATCTGGAAGAGTTATATTTTGCGAAGATTGCGCAAGGATCCAGTTGCGCAATCATAAGAATGTGCATGCGCATTCTTAAGATTGCGTGATTTTCAAGAAAGCGGACAACACGGATAACGTTTTTTAATTGTCTATTTAGCCGCAAACCGGTCTCGCATTGTTTCCGTTCTTAAGCCGGCCGATAGCACCCTCATTACCAGTATAAGGGCGGATCCAGAACAAAATTGTTTTTGATCCCCCAAAAAGGTGGGTCCCAAAAATTACAGCATGGGGTTCGGGGCCCCCTCTTGTGTATGTGGCCTCCGTATTGAACAAAAATTGGTTTCTCACGTTACATTTTCTTAGCGTGAGTAACCGATTTCGTACGCCTTGTTTATCATGCAAAACACATTTTTCTGGATGTCATCTTTGGTGCTTAGGTAGGTCTACGTCTACTCTATCTACCATGTGGATAACAGTTGTTAAACCTTTTCAGTAAGGTAATTACAGCCCAAGGAAACTCAAAAGTACATCAAAAATGTAACGTGAGTAACCGTGGAATTGATCTTTTGATATTCACTCAGGAAAATCTGAGATTTGTTTAAGTGTGCCAAATAAGCAGCTTAACAGGAATTACTTGGCCCAGTTTTGTGCCCAATTTTTGGATGCCACAGGTTTTGGGACTTAATGTCACAACAGTACACTTTTCCACAAATTATCAATTACGGTACATTTTGACATTTTGTTGACCGTGTTGACAGTTTGGATCAAAGGTTGATTCCTGAAATACAGACAAGGCCATTTATTCGCATGAGCTATAAACAAATAAGGGAATAAATGTGTGCTCCGGAGGTTTTTATCACTCGTTTAATACCGCTTAGAGTCTGGGTGCTGATAATTACCCGAGCCGGAGGCGAGGGTAATTATCAGCACCCAGACTCTAAGCGGTATTAAACGAGTGATAAATACCGACCGAGCACATATTTATTCCCATTCATAAATACCTTATCCGTAAATTTTTTTCAAATAATTCGTTCAAAAAATCCCGATTTTGTTCAACAAGTTCATTTCATGCTTTTTGAAACATCCCTCTAGCAAAATAATGGAGTGTTCAGCTGGCGAGTAAGATGTAAACAACCCTTTTATGGAGATTGACGCGCGCGTAACATGTTCTGCGCGATGTCACGCAGAACGCACCTGGGGCGTTGCGTTTTGAATTTAGAACTATAAAATTCTGACTCGCTTGTAGTGTTGCGCATGCCTACGTGAGGATTGTGAACGTTCAACCAATGAAACGGTAAGAGGCACTGGCTTTTTGGGAGTCCACATTTTATTGTGACACTGGAAAAGTGTTTAAGACCAGCTAGCCATGTCTTTATCATCCGTTTAATACCGGCCACGTGACGGGCTCTCGACCAATAGGAATAGCTAAACTGTCTGAGGTATTTATGAATAGAGTTTTCGAAGTATTCCTTAGAAGTACGTTTCAAAAGAGATGATAACAATCTAAAGAAAGAAATGTCAGCGAATGTTACTTTTGAAGCCCTATTGGTATCTTTTTTTAATGTACCAGAAATGACTTGAACAGTCACATCCAACACGGTCCGCGCCGCACACTGGTAGTACGCCTCTGAAAGGGACCAATCATGGCACTTCGTATCGCCGTCGTGGAGTTCACGCCCATGAAGAGTTGCTTCATCAGTCTGCCGGTGACCTGGGGTCAAGAGTTCCAGCGAAAACAGGTGATCTATCACATGACCAATTCTATGAACAGTTCAGACACTTTGTGGTTATTATATCAGTAACCTTGTTGTCTGGGCCCACTTTCATAAAGATGCTTAAGCAGAAAATTTGCTTAAGCACGAAAAAACATTGCTTAGTAAAATTAGGTTACCGGCCAAAACTCCATGTGATGTACATTGCTTGTGACTGGTATTTAGCTATTGTTTACTGAGCATAACAATCGCATTGAGTTTTGGCCGGTAACCTGATTTTATTAAGCAAGACGTTTTTGTGCTTAAACAAATTTTGTGCTTAAGCAGCTATATGAAATTGGCCCCTGTTGTTACTGATTGGCTTTACATGTATTCCAATAATTCCCAAAGTTGATTTTTTTTTTTTTTCTATTTACCTGAGAGGTATCAGATGTGTTATATTTGTTTACAAATGAGTTTTCTTTTGGGTGCCATGCGTGTGCTTTCTTATGGCTCCCGTAAGTGGCTCCCGCAAGAAAGCACAAGTATGCAAACTGTAATGTCCCTGAGTTTGAGTTCTGGAGATTTGAGTCTGAGTATTTTCATATTTCAAAATATGAGTACGAGTTTGGTTATTCTCACAATGGTACTCGAGCATGTCGAGTATAAGCCTTTTTCGGAGTTCCAACTGCGCGCATTAGTAACCTGTGACAACGCACATTGTTTGTCACAAATGCCCTTTGACAGTACCCACAAGGCACAAACAGCCTTTTTGTAAAGTCAGTGGCGCGATGTTGTCAAAGGCCATTTGAGACAAACAATGCGCGTTGTCACAGGTTATGAAGGCGCAGTTGGAACTCCGAAAAGGCTTATTACTTGAGTGCAAATACTGTGTGTGACAGACGTTCTTCAAAAATTCCAATGAAGAGCAGCCATGGTTTCATGTGCGGTGCCTTTAGAGCTTAATAATAATCCAGTGTGACCAAGATGCTCATCGACCTCAATTGGAATCCATTTGAGACCAGGCGACAGATGCAACGACTAGCCACACTCCACAAGATTCTTTACCAAGACACCGACATTGACTCCAACTTATACCTCAGACAGAAAACTACCAGATCCAGGAGAACCCACGACAAGCAGTTTGAAGTCCACCATCATAACGTACATCTTCCCCTTTATCCAGTCTTTTTTTCCTGAAGCCATTCTATTTTGGAATGCCCTACCACAGCAAATTGTCAACACAACTTCCTTTGCCATCTTCAAAAGCTCCTTTCAAGACCAACAAAGCTTTCACCTCCCCCGCTAGGCATCAATCCACTCTCGCCAACTTCACTTTAGTCCCTGGTGGACCGTTCGGGAGTTTGATCTACAAGTTACAAGTGCAACAACACTCAAGCTATTATGTTATTCATGAACTAACTCTACTTTTGCTGTTTGTTTTACAGAATTACATCTTCGAGCTTCAGTGGGGGGATCGAGGCAGGGCATATGTCTCGTGGGCCGGAGATACCCTCAGGTTGCCCGAGGGAAGTACAGTCGGGAATCCCACAATTCAAATCAACGGTCTCTATGGTAACAAGCTGGGGCTGTGCCACGGGGAGGAGGTAATGCATTTGTAATGTTCATGAAAATAAACCCAAACCTTCACAGTAACGTTGTGCATCGGGTCGGGTTGACCAGGCCAAACTGACCCGAAACATAGATATAAACTGAATCCGAACTGAAACAGATCTGAGCTCCCCAAATCCGACCCGCCCCAACCCGGCACAATTTCAGAGAAAAACCGGACCGAATCAACCCAACTCGAATTTGCTTGGGCAAATCCTACTAACAACTGTATATATTTAACAAACGCCGTGTCCATTTTTTGTGCCAGGAATTATTTTTTAAAAATCGTCTTTCAGTAAAGAATCCTATCATACAGAATGGTGAACACTCCTAACGTTACTGGTGTGCCTACACGTCATAGACTGTGCGTGATACTGATAGACCACAAACCACATGTACAATGGGTTGTACCGGGCACAGTGACTCTACAATAATATTACACCTCTTGAAATTCAAAACTGTTTGGGGGGGGGGGGGGTTTCGGTTTACTTTGACTTGTCTTGAAGCAGCATTTGCAAAATGGAAACATGTGACTGGCATTACGACCATTGTACCTACATTTATGGCTTGATTTTTGAGTCTTAACCAAAAATTTTTTAAGCCAGATAATTATATGCAATGTACGTGACGGCAAGATTTTAAGGTACACGTATCATTCTGCGCAGCATGAAATTCTACCATACGTTCTTGTGGAAATGTCTTTATCGTTTCATGGGAAATGGGCTTCAAAGCAAAAAACATTGGTGCAATCTAAAGTAAAGTGCAACTTTAACTCAACTACTTTGGAATTGAACACAAGCTGCCACTTCCCCAGGAATAAACAGAAATCCTCCTTTTTTTACATTTTTGCAAGTTTCATGGGAAAAAAAAGGTTCGACCAGAGGCTGTAAAAGCACTGTTCAGGTACTGCTTGCATCACCAAGAACAAAGTAAACCCATTAGCGCCTGTACTACATAGTATTACATTGTGTTTATTCACTGAAGAATCAATAAAATATACATGTTGAATGCCTGGGCGGTTTTGGGTGCTGGTGCTACAGTGAGTAATAGGCAGGGCGGTTTCAGACACTACAATGACTAAAAGGTTAAGATGTATAGTCGTGTTCCCTAACGTGGCGCACTTCGAAGCTTACCCGAATTTCCTCGTGTAGTGTTGCCAAACCTCTTTGTTGACAAACCTCAAATTCATGCAGAAAAATACTAGTACTTATACCTCATTAATGCTTGCCATTTAACCTCTGTGAACAATTTCGGTTTCATAAAATTTAATCCGAAATTCAAAAACGGTGGCGTCTGGAAATTGGGCACAAATTGGCGGAGTGTTCCCTAACGTGGCGCACTTGAATAAATCGCGGAAAATTCCAAATTAACATTTAAGAATTTCTGTAAACTTGATAAATTCTGATAAATAATTATTATCTCTACTTACATACCCAGCCAGATGTTTGTCAGAAAATTATTTTCTTATTTTTCGGGGCATTTTCAAAGGGTTCACTTTGCACTTGAAAATAAAATCGGAAAATCACGCCAAAATAAAATTTTCTTCTAACTTTGTTACGGGTAGATAAACTCGCAATTTATGAAGAGGAGTGTTAAGAACTTCATGAAATTTCACTTTCTGTGAAATTTCAGTTAAAACTTTTGCTCTAGGTAGGTGCTACAGGCGAAAAAACAAAGTGCGCCACGTTAGGGGCCGCGCCACGTTAGGGTACATCAACAGTACATGTACCTTAACCGTAACCTCACCTAATGCTACAAAATACTACTGAGTAGTAACCTGTAGTATGCATTTCTTTGAAGTGTGCACAACACATGTAGTATTCTGTAGTATTTGGTCCTTGACCCCCAAAGAGCCCTTAGGACGTTAGGGTTAAAAAGAATGCATGTATGTATGTGCACCAGTATATTGGGAATTGTGTGATGTTGTATTGATTTCAACCAGGGGCCTTTACATGTATAACGTTGCCCAGGTCTCCTGTATCAATGCAGGCAAATTGATTTTTCCCCCATATCATGGCATTGATAACATATGTTGATTCTTACTGTCTTTTGTAATGAGAAGCAGTGGCAACAGCTGTTTTAACAATATATGTGTTATTCATTTATAAGCATAGTGTTTAATGCTAAATTTTAGTAGATGCATTTTGTCGGCTGATGCGACATGTTATTCGGAAGGCAGACACAGTAAGTGATATTGAACATACAAACAATGTTTAGAGATGTACTGTTTGACATACTTTGTTCTATTTTGGGCGTCTTCTACTCTCTGAAAAGGGTTTTATTTTGTGACCGCTGCAACGCCGTACCGTAGCTCTACCAAATGAGCTATCCTTCTGTACATGTTGGCGGTTCCTAGTTTGTCAAAGTCTTTGTTGAAGGAGCGCTATAGACAGACGCCATTATCCAAGTTACGATGCTAGCAACGTTAGCAATGCTGCGAACCTTGGAAAAAGCAAAAGGGATCACTCAAAGAGGATAGGGTTTTATTAATACAATTTGTTAAATAACAAATTATGTGTAATTGTGGTTTTTTTTCCTGATGATTTCAGGTTTTGTTAAAGCCAGTCCCAAAGGTCCATTCCTGCAGCAGGGTCAGCGTGGAGCCCGCAACCTCTGATGACTGGGAGATACTGGTAAGTGGTAGGACACCAGACAAGATAAATTCATGATGCATAGATCCGATTAGCCTACAAAAGATTACTCAAAAAACTGCAGACATGAGAAAAAATTTATTTGGAAAATAACCTTGTTGTGCCACACGATTTTAAGAAGATGACTTGCCAGTTATAAAAAAAAGTGTATGGTTTGAGTTTTTATTTGTTTTCCTCATAATTTACTTTCGTATCAAGGTCGTTAAGGCTGTGGTACCCTACACGTATTTAGTTTGGTCTGTAATTGTTTTTTACTCATTAGATGTCACGTTATTAGTGATGTATCACATCCACTGTGCCAACAGCAGCTCATTAAAGTGTCTGACATGCATGTCTGACTTTATGGAATTGCCCTGGATTTAACACTGTTATAGTTAACTCTTTCATTGCCCGCAAAATTTGAAAAGTTTAACCCTAAAGTGCCCAACTTCGAGGTTTTTTTTTTTAATTGTTCAAAATTCTGTAAAAAAAAAAGTAAATAAGTTTTACTCACTAAATTTGTTGTGGCTGTTCTCTGCTATATCCTTGGTACATTGGAAAGTCAATAGTAGTAACATACATAGTGATACACCCTGAAACACTGTCCTGCACACAAGGGAATTCCACACTTCTTGCAGAAAATACAAGTGTCAGTGCTGCGCCCTCTCGCAAGAACTCGAATGAAACAAATAAACGCAGGTCGTTCCCGAATGAAAACGATATTATTAGAAAGAGCGAGAGCGCCCCCTTGTGATAACATGCTTACTCTACCTCGTACATGTACGAGGTTGGCAGTTTCAATCTAACAAATATACCTCGTACATGTACGACTTTGGCACTGAAAGAGTTGAAATAACAATTACATATCCTAAATTTCTACATTCATCATACTAGTTAAATTTAGTGCGTGATTTTGTGATACCTTTTTTAAGAGTTATTTTCCCCATGCAAGTAGTTACACTTAATTCCGGCATGTTCATGTACATGTACTTACAAAACTGCATTACATTGTACATATGTACACGTATGTAAACCAGTTTGGCAGATTTGTATGGTTCACAGGTCAAAGAGCTAATTTTAACAGCTAGAATATGGCAGCATGAGGGATGTGACATGTTTAAAATCTACCAAAAATCCAAGACCTGGCTTTGAACAATGTACATGTACATTCACATTTTACATTCAGGACTATACAACTCAACCACTACATGTATTAGTAGACTTGTGTTTGAGTAATAAACATCGAGCATGTCGAGTTGGAATCTGATTCAGAGTCACCAGTGATTTGGGTCAGGTCTGAGTGAGAGTCACGAGAACTTAAAGAGGTTGTGGAATGCTCGAAGACATTTCCGTCATTTTTCGGATATATGTAGCCTAAGGTGTGATGAAATAAAAACGACTATTGTTTCTGTCATGAAATGAGTACAAAAGGTAGGCCTACTTTTGAGAGCTGTTTTTCAAGTCCTGTCATGCCTGTTTCGACCCGAACGTGCAATTTGTGTAAAAGTCGTTGTTGCGGGCAGCAAACAAAACACAGTAAATCGTGACGTAATAAACAGGACTCCCGATGCAGAGTAGCATAAACGAGTCCTGTTTATTACGTCACGATGTACTGTGTTTTGTTTGCTGCCCGCAACGACGACTTTTACACAAATCGCACGTTCGGGTCGAAACAGGACCTGAAAAATAGCTCTCAAAAGTACCCTTTGTACTCATTTCATGACAGAAACAATAGTCGTTTTTATTTCATTACACCTTATGCTACATATATCCAAAATATGACGGAAATGTCTTCGGGCATTCCACAACCTCTTTAATTCACACACAAGATATCATCAGGTGACAGGTAAAATAAAGAAAGCCATCTTACATTGTACAGTTATGCACGTACAGAATGCAATAGTGGTTTTTTTTTTTTTTGCAATCCTTGTGCAACTCATGAAGACGAACATGTAAGGTACAATTTAATATAAAGTTTATCGTTTCAATTCAATAAGTATTATTTTGCAAGGGAAAAAGTTCTTTTTTCCATTTAAAATCGAGCAAGTTGTCATTTTACCATCAAGTCCGAGTCACTAACATCAAGTCCAAGTCCCAGGTCAAAGTCAGGAGGGTTGAGTCTGAGTCTGAGTCATTGTTAATAATACTTGAGTCCGAGCCTGGGGTTAGACAAATGTGACTCAAGTCAGGCTTGAGTCCGAATCAAAGGTGATATATCTGTGTTTTGTACCCTCTTCTTTTCAAACATAAAGGCGTAATGTGCAATGCATTGCTGCACAATTGTTGGATTGTGAAGGATCGAGGAAAAAGCAAAACTATCTACGTTGTTAGGCTTAATTTTGTATTGTTCCATTAACAGGAATTGAACACTGGCTATGTGGAGTCCAATCTGCTGAATCAAGTCAGGATCGTCTGGACAGGCCAGATTCTGCCAGTTTGGATCGAGAAGAAGATTTGCATATTCATCAAAATTGGTGAGTTGCCCCTATTTTCAAATGCCATGTAATCAGAAACAGAACTTTGGGGGGGGGGGCCTAAGACTACAATCACAACAGCTGGAATAGAGAAAAGCTACACATAATTTCTTGTCTCATAAGTTGAATCCTTTGCTAGCGTTTCTGATAAAAAAAGTTGCCGTTTCCTGTTTTGAATTGCAGCCTCTCACGTACAGACCATACATCAGTACTCGGGACTTGATTCACATTCAGCCGGTAAATCTCTTATTGCTCACAGGTGCTACAGATCCCCCTGCATCTTGTGTCCAGTTGGAGCCCAACACCGAACTCATTGTTGCGCCCAAGTCTCGCCACAACCCAGCACCAGCCACAACTCCTGTATCAAACACAAATACCCCCGGTAACCCTGACAGACAGGGCGGAGATCGTTCTCAGAGACACCCTGACGCACCACTTCCAAACAGTTCCAGTATGGGTTCCATCATCGCCAGTGCCCTGTCCGGCTTCACCAGCGACTACGACTCCGCGACGAGTCCCAGCGACACCACTTTCTCCACAGCCCCTCTGACGGACGCTAGCTCCAGTCCAACGACTCCCAGCGAACCCTGGGACGTTCCCCCAGAAACTCTTGACAAATCAATACCTTGGTCCTACAAATTTTGGCGTAGGGTTAAGTCCGTGTTTGTGCGTGACGAGGCTGAATACATTTCAAAGATGGGGAGCGGGGACATGGAGGAGGCACGCCGTAAGATGGCGGCCGAGTTCTGGAAGGATGTGAGGATCGTTGCTCGTGTCCAGCCGATGTTTGAGCGCCGTAAGAGCTCTGTGTCCCGAGTCTCATCCTCATCAGGTTTACTAAAGTCAGGAGGTCGTACGCAGCTCGCTGACTCCAAGCGGCATCACATAGCACCCAGTACTGCCACAGCCAGCGGGGAGAGACCCGATGATTCTGAAAACTGTCCAAGTCCGTCAGCTGACACCCAGGAGTCCTTCATGAGCTCCTACACGCACCTCATGCAGCCCACCACGGTCTACCTGACCTCCAACTGTGAGACGGAATTCGTCCGGCACCACAACTCCAATACAGACGAGCACCAGTGTCCCGTCAACGAATTTGTCACGTTCCTAGCCTACCTGGCCAAGCTCTCCTCCCCAAAGGAAAAAAAGGAGGAAGTCAACCGCAAGTTTCAACAAACCCAGAACAAGTACGAGAAGGCGATGCGAGAAGCCTTGGAACAGAAACACCTACAGGCTGCCCCTGCCCAAGCAACCACAGACGCTGCCGCAAAGAGCGAAGACTCCAACCCGTCTTGCGTGGTTCGCGTCATCATCCACAGTAACGAACTCCAGCGACATCAATCTGGCCAATCGGAGAATCTCTACTCTTCCAACACGTTTCAGAAGCAGGACATCTCCTGGTTCGTCCAGCTTCCTGACTTGCTTCGACGTCAGCTCGGACTGGAGTCCTCGGCCAAAGTGGAGCTGCGACCGGTGCTCATCCCACCGGTGCCCATTCACAGCATTTCACTATTCCCACTGTTTGACAAGGTGCGGTATTTTGTAATCACTACTTACGTAATTTGAGGGGCTAGCAAAATTACTAAAACCTCAGTGTTGGTTGTAATTGGTTCGCATCATGTCAGGGGGTTATAAAATCAAACGGCATCTTCAGACCAGTTATATAGCGTGTAAGTCTTGCCAGTCCATGTTAACTATCTATGTGAAACTCTGTGTATCAAGCGCTGACTAGTCTAGTCACAGACTCCCGTGTTTGAATTTATCCAATTGTTACCTGTGTGATCGGTTGAACGGAAGTAGAGATCAACAATTGTAATTTTATTATAGTCAACAATTTGCAATTTTTTTCAATATGTTGAAATTGTAATGTTTTTATTTTCTTTCTAAATACACATTTATTGCCCTTGATTGGATGGGCCCAGGCAGGACTCAAACTAAATGAAAAAAATAGGACGTTGCACATATTGCATAATCCTATACATGGTGTCCGGATGTGCTGTGTTCTAGTTAAATCTTGCAGGTTTTTGAAGTCACTTTTCATGTTTGGCTTTGATATCTAAGAGAAAGATCTGCTGGGATAATAGTATGAGGTTAAGTTACTAGCTCTGCAATATTTTTTTCAGCCCTCAGATCTCAAAAATGAGGACCTTGTCTTTGCATTTGAATACTGGGTGACGTGTGTGAGCTGCATGATATCACCCATCCCCATCAGACAGCATGGAACCCTACTGAGGTTTCCCATCTCTAGAACTGGAGGTTAGTACCGTATTCTGGGGTATTTTTATTATACATGTATCTGTTGTGTGTTCAATGCTTGGTGGCTATCTGGATAGTGGTAGTGTTTTTTTTTGTAGTCATGGTAGTGTGGGAAAAATCAGAGACTTAGATATCCGAATATCCTAAAAAAAATTTAAATTGAGTAACGGTTATCTGATTTCACCTGAAGCTCTCATCCAGCTCACAGCATGCTCTCCGCGATGATTGGGTATATAGTGTGCAGGATTCAATGACCCATGGGCCTTTACAAAACCATTCCAGAGCTGAAAATGGGTGAAAATCTCTTATTAGTCAAATGGGCAGGCTGTCCATGAACCACTAAGGCCACTAGTGTTGAGTAATCGGAGACCATTGAGCAAATTGAGGGATGTTCCAGTTGTTTTCTTTAACTGTGTCACCTAGAAATAAAAGACTTTAAGGTTGGTTTTAAATATCCGGTTTCCAAAATCCAAGCCAGATCTATGAGGAATTCAAACCAAGTTTTTAAAAAGTCTGGAGTTTAATCCTACCATTACTCTTCTGTGATTCTTCCAGAGTCAACTGTTATTTCTTTAATTTGTTCACTGGAGGGGTGACCACTGCCTCAATCTTCAATCCTGCAAAGTCCTCCAGCAATCACTGTAAAAATGTTTAGGCAGAGCCAGTGACATGCTGGAGCAATGTGGAGGATTTCAAGTACAATGTAGGCCTAAGTTTATGCACGGCTGAGCATAAACAACACAACCTCCGGGCCTAAGACCTTGATACAGTGCATCCTCCCAAATCAACCACACATTTTTTGCCATATAGTCTCAATCCTGCAAAATCCTCCATTTTGCTAAGAGGATTTTGGACGATTTGGGAAGGTTAGGGTTTAAAACTTTGCCAAACTTGTGTCATCCATCCAGATGTCCATGGAGAGTTTCTCATCTCCGTCAACCAGCAGGACAAGCCTGCCCCCTCCTCCTCCTCACCCGATGCCTCCCCGTCCTACTACCTCCTGCATCCGCTCATCGCCAAGAGATGCCGGGCCGTCATCAGAGACAAGATCACCGCATCCAACAAGCCTGCCTTCATCCCTAGGATGCCATCCAGGGGCGTGGCCGAGCTGGACAATACCGTGGGCGGGTACAGACTACGGGATCTGGGGTAGGTGAAGTTTTTGCTGGACCTGAAGGGCCTGCTTGTTCTTTCTCTGACTCACTGACTGACTCCCCGATTGATTCACTTACTGACTGACCAGAGATAATAATAATAGTGGAGTCTTATATAGTGCACGTATCTACCAACAATTAGGTACTCAAGGTGCTGGAAATTATGTCTATTGTTAAGAAAGGTAAATAAAGTATATGAGAAATATGAGACCCATTATGTAGCACCTTATAAGGGTTGACAAGGTGCTGCGGCGCATATTGCAGCCACTGCCAAAAACACCGGGGCAAACCCCTTCTCTTAGCGATAAGTGTCACTGGGTTCTTTAACGTGCATTACCCAACACATGGGACATACGGCTTTAGATCCCATCCGAAGAGAACAAGCACCATGTTCCCACGGTCAGGATTCGAACCTATGTACCGCGGCACACGAATCGAACACAGTAACCATTGGACCACAGCACCCCCACTGTATGTAGTCGAGTCCATTGCAAGTCCATCACAAGTCCAGTCCCAGTAAATCACAAGTCCAGTCACAAGTAACAGTGGATGTACAACAACTTTGACAAAGCTCACTTGAATAGCTTGTGAGTTGAATTGGAACTGGATGATTTGTGATGGACTTGTGATGGACTTGTGATGGACTTGTGATGGACTTGTGATGGACTTGTGATGGACTTGTGATGGACTCCACTATGTTGTTGTGACCAACTGATTTCCAACTGTTGTCTGGGTCACACTTAGTACAAGTGTGAAAGTAAACACAAGTTTGTAAAACCACACTAAGTTTAGATCCTTTGCGTGGCATATTTTGTTACGTTGCCTTTTGCAAAACAAAACAAAAGTGTCAAAGATGACCTCTGAATGCAAAAGCAATTTTGCGCTTTGGATAATCAAAGGTTGAAGGAGTAGCAACTGTGGCAAATTTTGCCTCCAACGTTTCATGATGCAATTTGCTTCTTAGAGTTTGCATTTGTACAGGCACAAACTGGCCATAATATTGATGTGACACAGCTAGTCCAGTTTTATTGTCTGTGGTAATTATTTTTGTTTTATCTCTATTTATTTAACTTTTTTCCCCTCTATTTGCATGTCTTCGATTGTATTTGGGCCCAATCTTTGGGTTTATCCTTTAAAAAAATATTTAAAAAAATACATGTAGTTCATACCAACTTCAGTCAAAAGCAATACATTTTGCTGATTATTTGCATGATTCTAACGTATTAAAAGAACTTAAAATTCCGGTATGTCAGTATCCACAGCATTTGAAAGTCCTCATTAATCCTGGACCTTTCAAGACAGAAACTTTGGCTGTTCAATTTCCAGGGGAGCCGCAGCTTTGGGCCAGCAAGCCCTGGACTACCTCAGCACGGCGCTGATGACGCGGCCAATCAGCCGGTGCCTGGGCGAGTCCCTGCCGGGGCTCCTGCAAGGCGGCCTGCTCGTCTGCGGCCCCAGGGGCAGCGGCAAGAGCGCCCTCTGCCGGTCGGTCTGTCGGGAGATGGCGCAGTGGCCCAACCTAGCGCACGTCAGCCTGGTGGAGTGCAAGCCCTTGAAAGGTTAGTACAGAACCCGGTGCTCAGTTGCTGGGGGAAAAAAAGAGCCAGTTCATGTTCTGCCCGAAATGCATTTCAAGCAGAATTTGTCAATAGCCAGTTGCAAATAAAAACACAAGCAGAATTGATGTGGTACCTACTGCTTATTTACATCAAACCAGCCAGCCAATCTTGGCAAATTTGGTGGTCAAGTGGTCAAGGCATCTGCACTAATAGGTCTCGTTCAAATGACGTCATTTCCTACAGACTATCCACATGCATCGGCAATTTGAGCATCAACTTGCATAACACGCATCGGCCGCGTCGTATTTGGAACACATTTCGAGCAACAAGCACGCGTGGTTGGATTATTTTCAACACTGCACAATGCGTGCTTGATTACGTAAAATACGCAGTTGCAGTTCTCCTACAGAGATGGCCGTCATTGAGCGAGCCCTATAAACAGAAGGCCCTGAGGTTGAGCCCTGCCCAAGCAAGCTGGTGGCTACAAGGGAAGAAGGGAGGTCATCGCTTGTCAACAAGATGCCTGTGTACTATCAGTATGCTTTGCTGCAACCACCTCTTGACTACCCAGCAAACTCGTTAACATGAATACATTTCTCATTGAATTTTGAAATGTTCTGGGGGAAAAAGTGTATTTAACATATCAAATTGCTCAAAAATCGAGTCGTAACTGTGGTTAAATTTTTTTGTTTTTTCAGGGAAACGTATCGAGACCATTCGCAAGATCTGGGAGGAGGCTGTGAACGAGGCAGCGTGGCGACAGCCTTCCATCGTCCTATTGGATGACCTGGATCATGTGACTGCCTCGCCGCTGGGACCGGAGCAGGAGATTGGCCCTGAGGCAGTGTACCACACCCGCTTGGCTGACGGTAAGTGGGAAAACCAAACCTGTGTTGAGTTATGTAAATGGGTCAGTGTTAAGGGTCCACAGTGTGACATTTTTTCCTGTCCCCGTTACCTTGGCACTTTGTAATTTGTCATTCAAGTATCATTAAGAAGTCTAACCCCCTAAGGGTTCCTCAGGACTACCCTGCTAAATCCAACAGAGTCCAACGGTTACTTCGTGCTCAATCCAACAGAATCCAACTGTGCCTAATTTTGAGTTGTCTGCTGGATCCAACAGAGTCCAAATTAAGTAAGAATTGAGGCTTTGCATGGTGGAGACACTAAATAATGAAAGGTTTGCGGAAATGTGCGAATAATTTCTCAACTAAGAGAATGGTTCTGAAAAGAACCAGAGGTATAAACTCCAAATTGGCGTTATTTATCAGTACAGAATCCGACTCTGAATATTTGTACAAGGGGTTTACTGCTCAATCCAACAGTCTGCAACGGGTATATGATGTAGTTGGATCCTATTGGATTTGGCAGGGTTAGGGTTCTTAAGAATGACTTCAAATGATTATTTTTTTCTTTTGGGTAGGTAGTTTCCATTCATAATCACTCTTGGAGGATGACTGCATGAAAGAATGCGTCAGCATTATTGACTGCAAGCTTTTAGGGCAGCACTGAGTATACAGTGCTTATGAAATAACATTGATAGAGGGCAAAACTAAGTTTTCAAATTCATTTGTTTTCTGTTCCTATTTGATATTTGTTCACAGTTTTGAAAGATATAATGACGGCCGAGGTCAGAGAGGGGTCACGGGTCTGCATTGTGGCCACCACCAGGTCAAAGGGCAGCCTCCACCAATCACTGACCAGTTCCAGAGGTTGCCACCTATTCCAGTGCTGTCTGGAGATACCTTCATTGAACAAAGTGAGTCGTTAGCAGGATCATTTAACCCTAACTCTGTCTAGATCCTTTAAGATCTATCTGGAGGGTTTTGCTGGAGTAAGAGATATAGAGGCAGCCTCTATCATTAACTGGGGTTGTTTTATGCCTGTTGAAGTTTAAGCACAAAACATTTGCCATTCTTTTCATGTACATTGATGGGGCTCATAAGATAAATGACATTGACTTGTATCAAACAGTGGCCCAAAACTTACTTTTTCAGTATCAGTTTAAGTGGGCAAGTCCAAATACTCAAAATATTTTGTGTGATCGGAATAGCTCAAAATGAAGGTTGGTATTACACCGATGCAAATCACATAGTGTTGCACTTCGTTAGGTAGAGCTCCGAAACTTTACCCTTCAACTTAACTGTCTGGGCATTTTTTGCTGGGAAACCTTTAAGCCTCTAACAGCCAACTATGCAGCTAAAGTACCGGTTCTTTGAACTTCATCAAATGAAAATAGGGTCCAATACCAATCTGATATTTCAAAATAAACAAATGCCTCGTGATTTCGCAGCCAAGATGGAATTTATCATCACCCCAATGCCATATTCCATCTTATGAATAGTTTGGTTGCGGTACTGGCTGCTATATCAGATTCGAACCAGCCAGCCGACCCTGGCAAGCTCGGTGGACGTGTGGTAACACGTCTGCACAAGTACCCAGGAGGTCGTGGGTTTGAATCCACCCAAGCACTTTGTGAAATTTTTTTCTCATAATAACTAAGAACAAAGTGTACATTCATCATAAAAAAAAATTTAAAAAGGGCAAAACCAAATTTCTATTATCAAGATTTCTACGCAAAAAATTGACAAAAAATGTATTTCTCAATAAACATTTTATATTTTGCATCAAACTTTCCCCTTTTTGATTTTGTAGCCCCAGCGCATTGAGGTCTTCAATTCCGCCATCCAGTCCAAAGTAGAGATTGACCTGCGAACGTTTGACCGGATTGACCCTGACCACCTGGCCGGACGGATGGAGGGTTACGTGGCTCGGGACATAGTGACCGTCGTGGAGAGAGCTATCCATGCTGGATGTAGCCGGGAGATGATTGAAGGAAGGCCCACACCGCCTGCTGAACCAGACAAACAAGGTTTGTGAAAAAAATTAAAGAAGTCAAATTTTTTTTCAAGGATGCAAGTCCGCCTGCAATTATGGGATTTCAGGCTTTGTTAAATTGAAAATATATATCAGTCCAAACTGTGGATTCCAGTCTGGAGCTTGAATCTGAATTGCTACGTCATGTAGGTTGATTTCAAGTCATCACTGGGAGGTAGGCTTGTGTCCGTTGTTCTAGATCCTCAACACCAAATCTGAGTCCCATTATAAACTTGGAGTCCTGAGTTGTATGGTTGTTTAAAGCTATAGTCCATCATTTGCAGCCATCCGAAAAAGTAACTGGCGTATTATCGTGGAAAAACATACTTGGTTGAAAGATGGTAAGGGGACTAAACTCCCTGTGAAATTAATCTTTCTGGCAAGCTATCATTTTGAAGTAATCAACGAAAGAAGGCCTTTCCAACTGTGCGTCTTAAGACGCACTGTAGGAAGATTTAAATTAGTAGTTCGTTTTGTTATTCGGCGCAGTGCGCGCAAGCATTGGCACGACGCACAGGCGCGCACGGTTGCTATAATTCGTCGGATCAGTGCGCAATATCGCGTATAGCTGCAATTCAAGACAATTCAAAACATGATTCAGCAACTTTTGATTTGAAATTGAGATCCTAGAATGCTGTTTTTTTTCGGAATATACAGCTGAAGCTGAGCTGAAACTTCATCAGGTTGGTTGTTCAGTATCCTTCATTAGATATTGAACACTTTTGTTGCTTCAAACGAACAAAATGTACAAATTACAAATGATGGACTATATCTTTAAGTCATGTACCGGTAGGTTAGAAATATGTGAGTTAGGTGTGAGTCATGAAAGTTAACCCTGAGTCTGAAATTAGAGTCATCTACTCAACCGCCATATACATCCATCCTCTTTTTTTTTAAAGAAAGGTTGTTTTAAATTATGCACTAATTTTGCAAGGTACTGTAGGTTTACGTACCTTAGCATGCCCTTGTATTATTTGTTGCTTATAAATTGTGTGAGTCTCACCATTTCACTGTCACTTTATATCTGACGTCACGGTACCCAACCCTGAGTAGTCTAGTAACAGACTACCAAGTGTTATCTTCATGATTGATGGAACGGAAATTGGAAGTCAAAATAATTCATTCTTCTGTAGTATACATGTACTTTGCTTTAGTAGTAAATAGTTGTAGTTATGATTTGTCATTGGGGACCAACCCGTCTGTCATAAAAATCAAAGGCCAAGATAAGAATTGCTCATGAACTGCACATCTGTAAACCTGAAATGGACTAGTGGCAAATGGATCAAACTCTTCGAAAAGTTATGCTTTGATTCTGTTTACCCTTGATAACCTAGCCAAAGATTCCAACAGCAATGCAGACGAGATTCTGCTGAGGCAGGAAGACTTTGAGGTTGCGCTGCACGACTACACGCCGGCCACTCTCAGGGACGTTCCATTGCACAGCGCGGGGGAGTTGGGTTGGGAAGACGTCGGCGGGCTGAGGGACGTGAAGGAGTCTTTACTAGAAACGCTGCAACTGCCAGCAAAGGTGGGCCACTTCTGCACATTGCATTAACCCATTAGGCTCTGTACACCCACTCTTGTTTTACCATACTCCCGAGGGCAATGCTTTGTGTTTTCCTTTATCCGAGTAATTTAACACACTCCCATAGACTAAGCACACAAACCTACCACAGTGAACCGTTTTGAACAAGAGACCCAACTCCCAGGGACTGAAAGAATCTGTTGTTCTCCCTTTGTGTGTCTGTCCTCGGGGGTTATGTAGAACACGTACAAGCCCACAGTGCCCTGCCTGTTACTCCTTATACCGCCCCAAACGGCCCCAGCACGCTATGGTATTACAGATTCGTCAAGGAATAAATACAGTGTAGTACATAATGGAGGTATATCGTAGAAAAAAAATATAATCTGCTTAATTTCGCCTTCGAAACTAGTTTGTCAACTTCCAATACCTTGGGGAGCTGGTATCGACTATCCACCTTCAAATTATGTCATCTTTGATAGGCATTTTGGCAAAATGAGACAGGACTGGGCAGAGGTCAATATGGGGCTTTGCAGGTATTAGGCAAGAAAATAAATTTCTCCCTACAATACTGTTTGTTGCACTTCAAACAGACATTCTGTTGACAAGTTATGGCTGTTTCAAGTTTTCACATATCAACATGTCAAAACAGTAACATACTGCGAAAAAGGCCATTAATGTATTGAGTTTAGTAGTCATGAAAATAAAAGATGTAAATTTGTTTTTCCTTAAGAACACTTTTCCCATGATATTACACTATTTCTTGACTGTAGACATATCAAAGATTACAAATATCAATCAATCTGAAAATCGAAGAAGAAGAAAAAAACATCCTCAGTTTTGGGTGGTTTTTTTTCATATTTCTCCACTTTTCACTACTATGGCCTGTGCCCAGTTCCATTTCACCTTGCCAAAACGCCTTAAATTTGTATACTTTGTGTCACTTCTAGTATCCATCGTTGTTTGCTAACTGCCCCCTGCGTCTGAGGTCAGGGTTGTTGCTGTATGGCCCACCAGGCACGGGTAAGACACTACTGGGCGGCGTCGTGGCCAAGGAATGTGGACTCAACTTCATTAGTATCAAGGTTCGAACTTTTTTCCGACATTGACAAAGGCGATGAACTATAAAATAACACAAATATCTGTGTGTCAGTTTGCTTTGAATTTTGAGGTTAGGGTTCGTGACTCATGATCAGAGGGTCCGGGGTTTGAATCCAGCCGCTGGTCATATATTGTGTCCTTGGGCAAGGCACTTCACCCCCACTTGCCCCTCTCCACCCAGGAGTATAAATGGGTACCAGCATTAGCTGGGGAGTAACCTGCGATGGACTAGCATCCCATCCAGGGGGAGTAGAAATATTCTCAGTCGTTTCATGCTACTGAAACCGGAGATAAACGTCAGCCTGATGAGCCACATTGGCTCGGGACAGACTTTACTTTACTTTAGTTTGCTTTGAATTTACTCATTTGTATTTTATTTAAGCACCTTTTTGGAAAGTTACATTTTAAATAATAACAGTTCGTTGTTTTGATCACTTGAACTGAATTGATAAGTTTAAATGTTTTAACACATTTGGCCAATTAAAATAATAATTCATAAGAGCACTTGGACATAAACAATTATACAAGTTTTTTTAAAGGATTTTTTTTTTACCAAAAAAGAAATCCTAACCCAAAGATTGAACAGTCTAGTTCAATTTTTGGGTTTTGCCCTTCACTGACGTATTTTTATGTACACTGTATACTAAATGTTGTCCCAAATTATTGCGAAAACAAATTCACTAACTGCTTGGGTGGGACTAGAACCCACGACCTGCTTTGGTAATAGAGTACAATATCGAATATTCAAGTCCAAGTACAGTCAAACCCTGATAAGAAGAGCACTGTTAATATAACATCCTGCTTATAACAAGCAACATTTCAGGTCCCAAGTCTTGTTTTTGTTTGTTTTCATTACTGATAATACAAGGTACCTATTATAACAAGGTAATTTGTAAAGTCCCAAGGACTGTACTTTGCTTCTCAAGTACGAGTGCTGTGAATTTGATTCCAAGTAATTTGATATTCGAGTATGAGTGAGAGTATTCTCAAAAAGTAATTGAGTTGTATTCGAGTACGAGTACTACAACATTGCCAAGGGTGTATGCAATGTGAAACAGGTTTCCCTTCTCCTTGATTCTGCAGGGTCCTGAGCTACTGAGCAAGTACATTGGTGCTAGTGAGCAGGCCGTCCGTGATCTCTTCAACAGGGCTCAGAGTGCACGACCCTGCATTCTCTTCTTTGATGAGTTTGACTCGCTGGCCCCAAGGTGCGAATCTTTAACCCCAAAAAAGGCTGTGGGCAGACTCCTTGTACATTTTTTTTCTAATATAGACTTTTTCTCATGCCAAGTTTGTAGACTGATATCTTGCAGACGTTTAGACACCAAATTCATTTTAAAAAATCAGAAGCAGTGCTCACACAACATGTCTTCTTTTTTTACACAAGCAGAGATGCCAACCATTACTCTTTTGGAGTAATTATTAGGATTTCGAGGCATGTTATTTCTCTTGAAAATTCCAGCTGTCCTATACGCCAACATTGTGGTTACTCTGAAAAGTACTGTGGTTACTCTTAAACTTGACTGTTGTCCTATGTATTTACACTAGCATTACTCTTTGCAGGAAGAGTCATTACTATTTTGTAGTCTGTAAAGTTGGCATCTCTGCACAAGGTACCCAAAACTCTTTTGTATTTAATTGAACGTGTGTATGAAAACGCTCTCATTCAGGGACGGAAGTGTGGATGTAAATGACCATAGTGAAAGAATGATTTAATCAGCAGACTTAATACTGCAAATTGGCCAAGCGTGAATGTCCCAATGAGCATACAGTATTTCTTAGAAGTTGTCCGTGGGTTTTCTGAGATCAGAACGGGGAGGCGGAATAAGCCCCGTGCTGCTGCCCTGTTCAAATGCAGTGGGGGCCCTCGATTGAAGATGAGGAAAGAAATATGTCCGGACAAGTTCTGGACTCTGTATCGGGTATAAGTTGCAGGATTCTAAACAACTTCCCCACAATCTTCCTGCATTGAAGTTATCAGTAAAGATCAGCGAAGCAGTTGCTAATGAAAATTTTCCGGATTATGTCTGGAACAAATGCAGAGCTTCTTCCGGATTAAAGTGAATGATTCTACCCGCAACTTGTCCAGAACGCATCCCAGATAAGAGTCCCAGAGATGGAAGTCAAGGAAAAGAATACTGTGGATTGATTACTAATTAGATTTACTTGTCTTGTCACAGACGTGGCCATGATAGCACAGGTGTGACTGACAGGGTTGTCAACCAGCTACTCACTCAGCTGGATGGCGTGGAAGGATTGCAAGGTAACAAGAATGTCTAGTAACGAATGTACATTACCTTTTATTAAGTTAGCCTTCTGTGCTGTTGCTGTTACGGGCCTCCAGTAGACGATTATTACACATTTTCATATATTTTTTTCCTAGGTGTTTACATCATAGGAGCTACCAGTCGGCCAGATCTCATAGACCCAGCATTACTCAGGCCTGGTAGATTGGACAAGTGTCTTTTCTGCCCGATCCCGTGTGCAGTGAGTGTCTCAAACCATTAGAAATATCTCCTTTTATAGCAGGCCATTGTGTTTTACTTATAACTGGCAGTGTTGTGGTTAAGTCCTTCACAAGTTTAGTCGCAAGTCGAGTCACAATAAAGTCCATTCACAAAGACCCGTCCTAAATCATGGGAGATGAACAAAAGTAAAGGAATTTCTTTTGTTACAGTTCATCTGGAAATCTTGTAACTTGACACAAGAGTAGATGGCTTGCCATGTGCGGGACTTGCAAGGACTTATTATGGACTCCAGTACATTGTTTATTGATGAACTTCTTTAGTGTTTTGAATTATGAAGTTAAACATTTCTAACAATACACTTATTTCCACAAATATTGAGTACTCAAGTATGAGTAGATCCATGCACAGCAAATGTTCCCAAATAAATTTTACTCTGAACAAACGAGATCAACCAGTATAAAAATTGAAAGTGAACTGGCGAGACTTGTACGTTCTATAACAAACAAGTATTTCGGACTTGGCCAAGGAAAGATTTCCATATACGAAGTTCACTAATTTTCCTCTGTATTGACTAACAAGTCCCCAGAGAGTACTCTTGTCAGTGTTCTTATATTGTTACGCCTATTTGTACATTTAGGTAATATGTTTTTGTTTTGGTTTTTAATGTGAAGTTTTTAAGTGTTTTATACATTATATTTGTGTGCAGAACGAGGAGACAAGTTTCATGTTTTTACATGATGAGAATAAATAAATAATAAATAATAATAGGAGAGCAATTTCATGTCATCAAAGTCAATTTGAGCATTGAGAAAATACAAGCATTTTCTTAGAAAACACTTAGAATTTTTCAGTCGAATCTCATAGGGTTTGTACACAGGGTGTTGAGTGAACTTCGTATATGGAAATCTTTCCCTTGGCCAATGTTTGGAGATCAGAAGGTTGTAACTATTTCACTTTCGCATAACAGGAAGAGAGGGTTGAGATCCTGCAGGCCCTATCCCGCAAGATACCCCTGACAGACGACGTCAACCTACGTGCCATTGCCATGAAGTGCGATCACTTCACCGGGGCAGACTTCAAGGCTCTCCTGTACAACGCACAGCTGGAGGCAATCCACAGCACGCTGGCCTCCAGCTTCGCAGATCCCGACGGCGAATACGACCAGCCGATGACGCCGCTCAACACCAAGCAGTGCAGCATGGGAGCCGACGACTGGAAGCTGACGTTCCTGGAGAGCTTCACGGCCGAGGGCGATTACGACGACGCGCCGGGGTCGCCGCGGCGTCGCTCCCGCCAGGAGAACGGTAATTCCGCTCGTTTAGGTTCCCCACGGACCGAACGTTCCAACACCAACTCCGAGTCCAGCAACAACTCGCAGGAGTTCGTCCGAGTGAATTTGCGGGACCTGAACGGGAACCCCGAGGCAGGTGATGAGGAACACTGCGGCGATGACCTCACCAGGAGGTCAGAGGTGAAGGGTCACGGTCCCTCCATGAGGCAGCTGGCTTCGGCAAAGCAAGGCAGCAGCCCCAAGCCACACATCAGTGATATAATCGGTGGTGGGTTGTCTTAATTTATTTTCAGATTCATCATCTCACCATGATCATCACTTTGGTTGCGTTGTCACTAACACCAAAGGGCGGAACTAATATGAGCAGGAGGCATCGCTGCCTGGACGTACTTCTCTTTCCCATCTAACATTCACAATCCATATTTAACGCTCCCATACTCTGCACAATCCAGCAAGACCCAACCCAATAGTTTTTTATTGAAACAACTTGACCAGAAGACCTCATTTTAACCCTTTCCTTACCATGGGTGACTTTTGTTTACAAGGAACTACCCCTGCTGCTTACCATAGGTAACTTTAGTCCACTAGGAAACCACACACAGAACACACTCAACACAAATTCATTCACTGCTTTTCAGCAAGCTGACATGTTGGTGTGTTTTGCAACCCATACATCAACCATACACCAGCTGAAAGAGTGTTTTCGGATCTTTCTAATGGTGTAGTTTATTCATAGTGTTACCATTACAAAATTGAAGAAAAGTACTTCAAAAGTATTCACGCACAATTTGAGGTATGGAGTGTCATAAGATCATGTGGTGGAATGGCTTGCAGTCTGATAAATGATCAAAAACAGGTCAAAAACCGACATAACTTTCTTATTGTTTTTACATATGGCTTGGATTTAAAAGAGTAAAGTTCAAGGAACAAACTTTACACACAACACCTTTGATTTTTATCACTACTTGCCAGCGAAAATCTGGGTTGGAAAAAAAGTGAGTTTTCAACTTGTGGTCCATTGTTCACGCTCTAGTGATCTGTCTGACTGAGCAAACAATTTGATTCTGGGGAGAGCCAAGTCAATAAACGATATGGTTTAAGGAAAGGATTAAAAGTGTTGGATTTTGCTGGATATTGCTGACTCCTCACTTTCCTGGAGTTGGACTGTAGTACTCAGATTCATTACGCTAATTGGAGTGTAAACTTTTCACAGAGACTACCTCCGTTCTTGTTTTGTTAATTCCACAAATATTTGCATTAACACATTTTCCTGTATAGACTAATTCAACGAAAACAATTGGAAGCCGTTTTTGAAGGAGAACTAGGCTCTCACTCTAGTTGGCACGTACTTTGGGCTTCTTCGACCAGTAGGCGCAGTTTAAGAACACGTGCGGCAAGTGGTTCCACCTCAAAAAATGGGTCCTAATTTTGTTCACCGAATTAGTCTAGCTTTTTTATCACATTGGGTGTATAATATGTTTAGGTGCATCATGACATCGTCATCATTACAGTATTGTCATGTCTAGTTGTCATTGGGATTGGCAATGTTGTCATTGTCATTGTGAGACATCATTGTCATCATCATGATTGTGTTGTCACTCTTTTCACATAAAATTGACATGTGTCCTGTCTCTCACCACTTTCATTTGTTACTTAGTGAAAGCAGATTTAACCACCCCAAAAACATTCATGGAATGAATGTAATATTCTGTCACATGCAACTCTATTAATGTTTTAATAATAATCTCAATTAAAAATGGATATGTGCACAAAAGTGATATGAATCACAACCAGTACCCTCCGTGTCATTGGTATAGAGAGTACATGTATTCTTGCGAACATTTTACCCTTGATAGAAACCAGGCAATCACTTTCTGATAATTGGTTTTCTGGCAGATTCCATTGAGAATGAGGAGGTTCCAGGCCCCATGGAGGGGCTGGAGGACCCATTCTACGCAGGCATAAGGCAGGGCGCTGAGCAGCAGGTCATCTACATGCCCACCCTGCGCGACGGAGTGGTAGATCCCAGCAGGGACACGCAGGAAAAGATCAACTCCCAGGTGAGCCGTTGAGTCTGACTAAAACAGACATTTGTGTCTATGGCTGCTGATATTTACCATAGCATGTCTATGTGAAAACCACAATCATACAGTGTTGTAGTACTCGTACTCGGTACTCGTACTCGAGAACTACTCGAGTACTTTTTTTGGAGTACTCGTACTCGTACTCGAATGTCAAAGTACTCGTTCTCGAAATGACGGTACTCGTACTCGGGCAGCAAAGTACTCGTACTCGACATGTCGAAATTGTACTCGATCATTAAAGTACTCGTACTCGAATAGCAGTACTCGGCCGGGGAAAATGTTATAGCTTCACTTACCCGATGGCCTTATTTTATCGATACTTTCAGTTTGAAATGGTTGATTGGCTTGTGGAGAAATCAAGATATCACATTTAAACACATTTAACAGCTAGCCGTGAGTGGGTCTGTATATCGGCCTGACTGGGCCTGGGCCAATTACGCACAATGAACCATTTGCCGTATGGCCGTATTCGGAAATGCAAGTACTCGTACTCGGAAGTACAAGTACTTGTACTCGGAGACCCGTTCTTGTACTCGGAGGTACAAGTACTCGTACTCGTACTCGGCAACCTAAGTACTCGGCAGTACTCGGTACTCGGAAAAAAGTACTCGACTACAACACTGCAATCATAGTAGCAAAACAGCCACTTGAGAGATGGCCCTTGATTGATCAGACCACGTGAAAAGTCAGTCTTGTTTAAAAGCACTAGCTTTGTATAATCATTTTTATCACCCTTTTTTCTATTTGTATTTTTAGGTTGCAGTTATCAAGGAAAACTACCAACAAAGAACACATAGACATCAGGTATTTAATGAGCCACTGTGAAATTTCAGAGTCGCTTCTTGTCAACTTTTTTTTTGCCCTTAATCTAGGACCAGTTAACCTCACGACTTCGCAAAAGATTTAATACAAATCACATGTAAATTAACAACGCTAATGCAGATAGAGTGAACAATTCTCAGTTCCCCACTAGTTGTAAAATGATGCTAAATTATTAATGCTAATGCTAAAAAAGTGCTGTGCATTGTTCAAATAATTTCTATTTACCGTGGAAGTCGATTTAGAAAATAAAAGTTACATGCGCAACTGAGATTTTTCCTTGAAAATGGGCTGAAAAACAAATTTTTTTGCATGCACAGGCAAAATTGTACATGCAAAGAGCCAAAGTTGCATGCATCTGTGCATGTAAACCCCTCTGAATCGACTGTCACGATGGTTGTAGATCCTATACGCGGTGCCTGGATGTGCTGTATTCTTGTAGAATCTGGCAGGTTTTTTTAGGTGAACTTGCGCGCTCTATTAGCAATGCAAAATTTGTAAGCCAGTCCCAAACATGCCAAATAGTCAATTAATGGTCCAACCAATGTCAAATAGCGTGACTAATAACACTTGTTGGTATATTGTGTGCTTGAATACTGTCATTTGTCTAGGATGGCCACGTGCCTGGACAATGAAAATGCATATCACACACTGAGGGCGATATCTCACTAACATTCATTGCATGCGTTGCGCGCACGTGTGGAACCTGCTGGCGCGCAATGAGAACAGCAATGTCAACTGCTCAGTCTCATGTCCAGCAGGACATGAAAACTTTCAGTTACCGAAGGTTACATCGCAGTTATTTAATCTATTTCCTACACAGTAAGTTACAACCATTTATCTTTTTTGAGTCCGTGGCACGACATAACAAAACAATTGTTGACCGCTGTGATGTGGGATATGCCGTTTTTAACCCCCTTGGGGCAAATAGCTTCGCCTCGGGTGCTTTGCGCCCCTTGGGTGTTAAAAATGGCATATCCCACATCACAGCAGTCAACAATTGTTAATTCTTAATGGAACTTGCTCTCTTCAATCTGTCTTTGGTCTCTGACAGGGTCTCAATGACGACAGATCCAAACCTGTCGATGGTTCTGCAGTGATTCACATCAGCCAGTCACATCTGCTGAGAGCAGCCGCCGAGATGAAACCATCAGTCACTGTCAGCGAGAGAGCGAGATACCAAAGCATGTAGGTATAGTCCAAAGTTATAACACCTCACCCACAGTCTCTGTCTTGATTGGTGGAGATGAGTGCTTCAAATGCTATTTTATGCATCTTGCGGTGCATTATATAAAAATAATGAATGTTTATGAATGCAATGGTAAGAATAACTTCATGAGGTGACAGATGGAATGTTCCATTCCAATAGGTGATACAGAGTGGCGGAAATGAGCGCGTCAGTGCAGATATACAAATAATGAGTGCAATGGTAACAATAACTTCATGAGGTGACAGATGGAATGTTCCATTCCAAGAGGAGATACTGAGTGGCGGAAATGAGCGCGTCAGTGCATGATATACAAATAATGAATGTTTATGAGTGCAATGGTAAGAATAATGTTCATGAGGTGACAGATGGGACGTTCCATTCCAAGAGGTGATACAGAGTGGCAGAAATGAGCGCGTCAGTGCATGATATACAAATAATAAATGTTTATGAATGCAGTGGTAAGAATAACTTCATGAGGTGACAGATGGAATGTTCCATTCCAAGAGGTGAAACAGAGTGGCGGAAATGAGCGCGTCAGTGCAGATATACAAATAATGAATGTTTATGAGTGCAATGGTAAGAATAATTTCATAAGGTGACAGATGGAATGTTCCATTCCAAGAGGCTATACCAAGTGGCGGAAATGAGCGCGTCAGTGCAGATATACAAATAATGAGTGCAATGGCAAGAATAATTTACATGAGGTGACAGATGGGACGTTCCATTCCAAGAGGTGATACTGAGTGGCGGAAATGAGCGCGTCAGTGCTTGATATACAAATAATGAATGTTTATGAATGCAATGGTAAGAATAATTTCATGAGGTGAAAGATGGGACGTTCCATTCCAAGAGGTGATACAGAGTGGCGGAAATGAGCGCGTCAGTGCAGATATACAAATAATGAGTGCAATGGCAAGAATAATTTTCATGAGGTGACAGATGGAATGTTCCATTCCAAGAGGTGATACTGAGTGGCGGAAATGAGCGTGTCAGTGCATGATGTACAAATAATGAATGTTGATGAGTGCAATGGTAAGAATAATGTTCATGAGGTGACAGATGGGACGTTCCATTCCAAGAGGTGATACAGAGTGGCAGAAATGAGCGCGTCAGTGCAGATATACAAATAATGAATGTTGATGAGTGCAATGGTAAGAATAATTTTCATGAGGTGACAGATGGGACGTTCCATTCCAAGAGGTGATACAGAGTGGCGGAAATGAGCGCGTCAGTGCATGATATACAAATAATGAATGTTGATGAGTGCAATGGTAAGAATAATTTACATGAGGTGAAAGATGGAATGTTCCATTCCAAGAGGTGATTCCAAGAGTGGCGGAAATGAGCGTGTCAGTGCATGATGTACAAATAATGAATGTTTATGAGTGCAATGGTAAGAATAATTTACATGAGGTGACAGAATGGGATGTTCCATTTCACGAGGCAAAGATGAGAGTGTTACGCGCCATTATATTTTATATCTTGCAGTGCATGATATACAAATAATGAACATTTATGAGTGCAACGGTAAGAATAACTTCATGTGGCGACAGATGGACTGTTCCATTCCACGAGGCGAAGCCCAGTGTAATGGAACATTCCATTTGTCACCGAATAAAAATTAATTCCTTCCATTGCACAAATATGAAACATTCATTATTTGTTTACAACAGGTATTTATAGATTTTACAGACTCTAAAATTGATTGAAAAAGTTGGGTTTTTTTAAGTCATTTCCACTTTCTTTTTGGCCTTACAGATACGACAATTTTGTGCAGTCACGAGGTGGCAACTTCAACCCAACACCCCAGCAGACCGGACAAAAGAGAGCGACGTTGGCATGATCGTATCAGAGATATGCACACGGAGCCCAAAATATTTTGATGACCAATAATTGCTGGGTATTTATATCAAATGATTATTAAAATCAAAATCACATCATGCTGCTATAATTTTTCAGTAAGGCTGAAAAACAGTTGTGTGTTTACGGTGATGCCTTAAAAATTATCTAGGTGGATAGGTACAAAAATAATTTTATTTTGTAAGTTTATGTTTGTCCGGTGTTCTGTTTAATTAACCTGTTTAATTTATTAATTCACCAATGACACACTAAAAACTTGCATAGGGAGGACATTTTATTTTCAAATTATACTTTATTGTAAATTTTTGGCAAAATGTGGCAAAAACGATTGAGGTCTGCAATTTGGCCGAAACAAATCCAGGAAGTTCCGGTTTAATACCGTAAAGGCGTAAACACACTGTTTTTCAGGCCTTCGAAAGTGAATCTTAAAAAAACTTGCTTCAAGACTTTTGGAAGCTATCTTTGTCCACTTCTAATTTATTTTGTAAGATGCAAGTTTATGAATATTTGCAATGACTAATTGACATTTGTTTTATTAATTTTTCAGGGCTGTTTCTGCATTCATCAAAAGATGGGACATGCATTTTCTTTTACTGACATGACTGAGTTTATATATTTGAAATTACAATGGATTTGATATCTGAGTGATGAAATTGAAGTGTTGTACTGAAAGACTTAATTTTCCGTATTTGTTATAAAAAAAAATTGCCAGTGTCATATAACAGTACTTAAAAGTCAAATTTTGTATTTTCAACTTGCAATCAACATATAGTTATTTGTTATTAATAGTACTCATGCAACTACATTGTTGCTTTTATAGGCGACGTGAGTATCTATGATCATAGATTGCAACTGTTATTCTTTTCTTTGATTGGTTTTTCATCATCAGATTCTCTATTTTAGCCTTTTATATATCTTGGGCCTTTTTGATCCCCACCGATGGTACTGTTTCTTAAATGGAATTTTTTTTTTCCAAATACTACTAAGTGTGATATTTTTAAAGCAATGTGGCAATACTAAAGTAAATGAATGAGCTTCCATGATTGTACTTGTAAATTTCATGTTGGACATTTTTTTTGCAGAATCACTGTACATGTAGTTTTGATTTTATTTGCCAAACTTTTACACTAATTACTTCCCAATGATGTGAAAGTGCAGCCAGCTTTGGGAAATTGAGTCGGAAAAGGTCAGAAAATAACAAAGCAAACTTTGAGCTCAGCATTTCATGCTGTATATTTGGTATTTTTTTTCATTGTGTGTTATTGATCATCATTGATTACATGTTTATATATACAGCAGATAAGCTAAGGTGAAATTACAAGGGATTAAAGAAAATCATAGTTACAACTGTATACATGTATTTATTATTATGTGGAAAATAATGCAAATTAAACATTTGAGTCTGATTATTTGGGGCTTACTTTTCATATGTCGTTTTTTTTTTAATTATCTGTTTTCATTTGAATGTCTCAAAATGTTCGAGAACATTTTAGTTTTCCTTTTTTACCTCAAATAATGAGCTTTTATTTCCAGATTTTGACTTGCATACTTAACAAATTGTTTCAATAATAAAATGGCGAATAAAATTGGCCAAATCTTGCTAAATCTAGAGCTGATTACGAAAAAAAAAAGTTGTCCACAAAATCATTACTTGGTTACAATTTTGAGTCAAAAACATTGCAGAAAAAATTACAACAAACAAATTTAAACAAAAAACTAAAGTTGCTATTTATGCTAAAAAAAATGACAATAGTAGGTTTGATCTGATATTGAGTTTTGAAAGTCTTGAGTTTTCAGACTTTCAGAATTCAAAAGCTTTGACTCTTGTCCATCATAAATTATGAATTTTCATAACACTTTTGAGGTTCAATTGTGGGGCAGCATATCTGCAAGTACCGCTGTCATGCACTGCAGTTCAATAATCACTTTTTCTTCTTGTTCTGTTTCCGCTTTTTCTTCAGCTGTTTTTTGTCTTTCAGGTCTTTGGGGATGATCTTGACTGGAAGGACGGTGACTGGCTTGTAGTCGGGCCTCAACACCATTTTGGCTCTTTTTTTCGAGAGACCCGGGGGAGTTCCCGACAATGCTCTTTTCTTCGCAGGATTTTCATCAGTTCTTTTCTGTGATTGTGCAGTTTCCCCAACTTGAACTGTTCTTTTCTGTGATTCAAGCTTTTCTTCGGGCAAAAGCACTAATTTCTCCGAAATGTCATCAACGTTGCTTTTAATTCCCTCCAAGGATTGTGCATGTTCAGGGGCCACAGCACTGTCCTGAGGGTGTGCTACCATTGGTGCTTCACCTTTGACCTTGGGACTGGCCCCTGAATCTGGATTTCGGCCTGCTTGGCTTTGGCTGTCACTGGAAGTTCCTGCTTGTGCAGGTTCCGGGGCCTTGAAACCAGATGACCCTTGACCTTTGTTCTTGCCCTTGCCTTTGCCTTTCTGTTTTTCTGTGCTTTTGTCAGCTGTCTTCACCCGCAGCACAGCAGTTGTGACTACCTCCCGGAGTTGGTCGAGGGTCAGCTCTTTATATTGGAGCCACGGAACGTTGATTGGCGGCGTCATGCCAACGATGCAATTAACAAGCTCATCGAAAGCAGCCGGGTCAGCAGGTGTAATCTTCTGCAAAGAAATTGCAAGAAAGCATTCCATAATTTGGGAGAAAAGAAATTTGAAATATTCAACTATGCCTGGCAGACTGTGAAAGAGAACTCATTCTTTTATTTCAACATCCAAGGGAAAACTTTTGGTACATGCGCGAGTTGGTCATCATGGGATTTGCTCAGCTGATCAGTTTTTCCTTCTTTCAGAAAAGCCATGTGACCCGACCCATAACCCAGACCGTTGCACTTCACACAATTGTGAGAATACGTGGCTTTGGAGCGGCTATGTGTGTGGCTGTGTGTAGGTGTCGTACGTGTGGTTACAGCCCACGAACGCATGGTCAATGGTTTGCACGAATATTAAAAAAACAAAAACAAAGAAATGTCAAATATCAAAATGTCATGAAACCAAAATGGTAAAAAAAAAAATCATAACTGCCTTGTTTCTCCATACAGTATTTGGGTTCTCTTAGAGCATCCCAGCAACATTGCACTGATTGAAACCGCGACCTCCGGATTGCCGTTCCGGTGCTCTACCTACTGTCTTCTGAGCTATCCAGCCCTATGTTTGCGGTTCCCCATTTAAGCAATGTCTTTGTTCAAGGGGGCTAGTCAGAAGCCATAAACATATATAGGGCTGCATAGCTCAGTTGGTGGAGCACCAGAACAGCAATATGGTCACAGGTTCAAACCCCACTCCAGTCAATTTCTTTATTCAACCTGAAAAGTGAATATAATTATAATGCACCTAGTCGGATTCCCTTTATGGTGTATTTGCAACAGCAACAAAATAAAGAGAAAATAGATGATTACCTTAAACCCAACAGCAAGTATCACCTTCAGCTTCAGTATGGGTGCCAAAGTGGCGCTCAGACCCTGAAGGCACAGCACAGGCGTGTCTCGTGTCGCACTGAGCGACATCAGGTGATTGGTCATGAGGGCAGGCTGGGCTGACCGGCACACCAGAGCCAGGCGAAGCTTGTCCTGCTCCAGGGAACGTGTCACCTCATTGAGTCCCAACGCCAGCTGGGATCTAAGACACAAGAGTAAAAAATAACAATACATTGTATTTGCTGTTTTAATATCTTTAACCCTCCTACTCTAGCTAGAACAACTAACAAAAGCCGCATTAATAACCATAATTAATCAAGACTTTTTTGAAAAACACAACTCTTGGCATATATATACATAAAGCAGGACTAGCTTTGACTCTATATGTTTATAACCATAAGGTTGACTGGAGGTCATTGATATGCCAGCTATTGATGAGTACTTGTTGCCTTCTTTGATGACAACTTATTTGACCAGTCACGGTGCTTATCACAACTGTGATCTCACTGTTGGTGACTAGCCCAAGTATCACAGGGGAAGTGCATTGAATTTTTGACTGTCTATGACTGTTTAAGACAGCAGGACATTTTACGACAAATTACCTGTGAGAGACCTCTTGCAAAAGAGGATGTGCTGTGTCCTTTAAAAGACCTTTTAACAGGGACCAGGAATATTAGACACGCCTTGATAATCACATTTGCACACATGGACTCCATCATTGTCAACAGTACACTGCAATGCATTTTGGATTGATAACTTCAGGTGTAAGTAAGTAAAGTCTATCAGGAGCCAATGTGGCCCATCACGCCGGCGTTTATCTCTGGTTTCAGTAGCATGAAACGGCCGACAATATTTCTATTCCCCCTGGACGGTATGGTAGTCCATCCCAGGTTACTCCCCAGCTATTGCAAGTGGGGAGGACGTGGCATTCCCAAGGACACAACATATGGCCAGCGGATGGATTCGAACCCATGACCCTCTGATCATGAGTCACGAACCTTAACCAATAGGCCACACTCCCCAAACTTCAGGTGTGCATAATTGGCTCAAAACTCTGCATCACTTTCTCACCAACCTGAGGAAGGCTCGTTTTGTTTTAGCCTCATCAGAAACAACTTTCTCTTTCCCCTTGGAGGACTGCTTGGCCAGGCTTTCTGCATGAGGGGTGAAGGTGCTGTGGTAAGTGAGGAAAAAAGAAATGACAATTATTAGAAACTTCTTTCTTGTAACGGGACTACAAATACTTTTCACAGAAAGTTTTTCAGAATACATAAAACTGTTGTAAAAATGCAACCAACCTTGTGATTTTCTGCAGTAGGAGTGATGTTTCTTCATGTGAGAGCTGAGGCCTGTTGGCGGAAAAAATGAAGGAACTCCATTTAGGCCTAGATATTTGTTTTGGTGTTGATATGGTTCTTTCCATAAAGATGTAATACAAAGATGTAGCCAAAAAAGTGTGTGGTGTCTGAGTGAAAATATGCCCAATAACATCTCAATTCCCCCAAAACAGTCACTGCGCATGTTCAGTGCCATGCCGGTACAATACCCTAAAACAATTGGGGACTGGTTCACAGTCAAATAAAATATCCACTGCCGAGAAAACATCCACAACACTCTCGTATTTCAATCAAATGTACTAGTGGCTATGGCAGCCGTAATGTGATTTTCAACTGCTATCGTTTACGGTAATGCAAAATCACCATTGCAAATCTATATCAATAATTATAACTACCCGTCCAACCTGAATGCTTCGGTAGCTTGTGTGGTTACACGTTTAACTATACTGTGCCGGGGATCGGGGTTTAAATCCACTGCCCCATCCCATGGCTATTATTTTTAATATTTTTAAATATAAATATATAGTTTTCTTTACTTTCATCTTTTTTATCCAATAGTTCTTCTTCGTAATCCATGATTTTGGACTTGGAGGATTTTTTACAATAAAACTAAAAGGGAAATAATTTTCGAGAACCATTCCGTTGATGGTCTGGTTCCTAACAAGTAACACCCAAAAGATCCTGATGTGAAGACTAGTAGTACTAGTAGTAGTAGTACTATCAGGGAACCAAACGATGCCATAACGATATAGCAGTTGAAAATTGCGTTACGGCTGCCGTAACAAACTTAACAAAGCCACTGCGATAATCAAAACCACAGCAGTACAGCCCTAACGAAACGAGCACGAGTAACGTTGTCACGCCCCAACTATCGCATCGGTCCCAACTATAGTTGGGACTGTCCCAACTATAGTGCGGCAGTTGGGTCGGCCCAACTATAGTTAGGACTGGAGTTGCGCCGGATGCTTCATGCTTGATAGATCTTGTTGGATTAAATGTTCCGCGGCGCTGGCACCGTGTATTCGTCGTGCATGCATGCCGCAAGGCTGGCCGGTCACGTGGTACTGCCTAGTTGGATGAGTTGTCCAGCTGCTGCTGGGTTTTATTGTCCAGCAACATTTTGCAAAATTCAAAGATTGCCATGGCCGGCCAACTATAGATGGGCCCCACCCATAGCTAATGTCAAAGGTCCCAAGTAAAGTCGGACAGTATGTAACAGAGCTGTAGGGAATGTTTTATAGTCGTACATCAATGTAAACTATAGTTGGGACCGCCAAATAAAAATATTGCGGTGGCCCAACTACAGATGGTCCCCACCCATAGATAATTTCATTGGTCCCCAGTAAAGTCAGACGTGTATCAGAGCTGTAGGGAACATTTTACAGTTGTACATCAATGTCAACTATAGTTGGGACACCGCAAAATAAAAAGATCGGAGTGGCCCAACTATAGATGGGCCAGCCCAACAGTGGAACTTACAGTTGGGACCGTCCCAACTATAGTTGGGACAGGCCCAACTATAGTTGGGCCAGCCCAACTGTGGAACTACAGTTGGGACAGGCCCAACTATAGTTGGGACAGGCCCAACTATAGTTGGGACCGATGCGATAGTTGGGGCGTGACAACGTTACTAACGTTACTCGTGCTCGTTACGTTAGGGCTGTACTGCTGACTGCTGTGGGTTTTGATTATCGCATTGGCTATTAGTAGGCCTATTACTTTGTTACAAAGTATAACATGTCAATTTCTTATTTAATAAAACAGTAAGATCCATACCATTCAGACAGAAAAGGTGACGTTATTGTATTCTTTACTGGATAATAGTTTTTATTTCCCTTTTTCCCTCGAACTGTACTTGCACGAGAGTCAACTGTGGGCGCAGCCATCTTGTTTCTTCTTAGCCTCGTTCGTATTATTTTCAAATGGTATGTGAGTTTTAAACTCAAAAATTCTCCCAAAACTATAAAATAGAAGTTACAAATAATGATTTGCAAACTCTATATAAATTATTAATGTATTCTATGTTTATAAAGAAACTGTTTTGTTATCATGTTAGAAAAGGTAAAAAGATTATGTTAGCCATACTTGTAAATTTGGCGCGCTTTATGTCAAAGTTCATCAATTACAACTTGACAATTGCAACAAAATAACAAACACGCGGAGCTAGCGCACTATCTACTGTCATCCGGTTGATAACATGACAATTTCAGGGCTGCTTATGCTGTGATATGTGCACAGTTTGATAATGCGATTGAGAGACAGAGGAACAACAACGTCAAGAAACGAAGACAGCAGCCAAAAGATGACGAAACACAACAAAAAAGATCAAAGCCAGTGGGTTTTTGTTGCACCGAGTAAGCATCGGGTTCAATCAACTAAGCTTTTCCTGTCAAGTGTCATGCCTGTTGAGTGTTGCTGTCATGGTTGTGTTGCATTGCACTGGCTGCAGTTGCCATGGTTGCATTAACTTGCAACATTCAATAAAGATGTTGAACACTCGTCACAGGCCTATTTAATAATTATATCATCTCATCATAGTTATAAATACAGGGAAAAAATGTTGCAACCTGTACCTGACATTCTGCGATTGTGTACAAAGTCTATGGAGTCTGGAGAGTCAAGAAAATTTTCTAAGTAGGCCTATTTCCTAACCAAATTTGAAGTGTTTCTCAGTCTCAGATTCATATAGTTTCCACATTTATGTCACTGACCTTCATTGACTTGAGCCTTGAGCCAGTTGAGGTGAAAAAAGTACAGTAGTAGCGTCGGGATCATGATGCAACGTTCTTTCCCCTCTGCCATGGCTGCCCAAACAATAATCATGCAAGGCCTAAAGTTGTTATTTATTATATATTAATTTTGATAACAAATGGAAGGCCTACCTAAAACTTAAGTGGATTTGGCTGGGGCCAGTTTTCTTTCAGTAGGCCTTAAAAGTTATAGTAATAACGTTATTTTCACGGAGACTTTCTCTGATTGACTCACACAAATACTGACTGCTGCGAGTGGTGTAGTAAAACTAGCCTCCCGAGGTGATCCTCCCGAGGTGATCCCGAGGCGAGGCCGAGGGAAAATAGAATAAAGCAGTCAATATTTGTTTTAACACCTTTCCCACAGATTCTGCTTGATTTTAAGTGATAACTGATTAATTTAATCTAAAGACAATTAAAATTAATAACACTAAATTTGTTCTTGGACAAATCTTTTTCCCCTGTTTGATTTTTTAGAAAATGTGGTGAGTGATAGTAACAGCGAGGAACAGGATGTTGCATTTGTCAAACTGAAACATCCCAAAACAGGTACATTTGTATAAAAATTTTCCTCATAAACTTTGTGCTTCATTTTAATTGTAGTACCAGAATAGATGATATATTTATAGTAACAGTCAGGGAAGTAGTAATGCTTTTTTTTCATTGACTATAGTTACAGCAATGAAACGAGATATCACATATTCTCAGATCTGGGCACTTTGACCAGAAGTGGCGAATGTTACATTTCGTATTATTATCTGCTGGACGAAAATAATGGCACGCCACGAAGTCCCATAGCAACCACAAGAACTTCTGCATGCGTAGACACACGAAATCAAAATGGCGGCGACTTTTGTTTTCAACCATTGCTAGGTCGACTTTAAGGTCAGTGACATCACGCCGGATCCGAGAATTTGAATAAATTCGCATAAGAATTCCACCTAAAGTTCTGTTCAAAGAAGGCCAATAGCCTTGAAATGTCAACTTGTATTTTGCCTTCATTTTTTTGCGTCAGTTTTTCTGACCTTCTTTTTTTCCTTTGACCATGATATTACCCATTTTGTAACTGTCATATTGAACTGATTGCCTTCCAGAAAAGTCTGCCATGTTTATGTTCAGCAGTGACGGAAGCACAGTACTCGAGCTTCTGTCTTTCAAAGAAAAGCACAGATCCTGGTTCATTGATGAGTCCGTACAAGAGGGTGAGTCAAATGTACAAAACTAAGTCCCAGTTGTCATTAGTGGTGGGAAAAATCAGAGATTTCAAAATCCAGTTACCCAATTTTTTTCAAACCGAATAACAGTTATTTGATTTCACCAGAAGTTCCCATTCAGCTCACAGTCGTGCCAACAAAACAAAAAGTGACGAGTGCTATGCAGCTAGGGCTGTGCATTTACGGGTAGTACAGGAGGCGGGTACCCGATTGAAAAAAACACGGGTACCTAGGCACCCGTCCTCCAGAGGCTGTAATGATGAGAAAAGAATAGGTGGGAACTGTCTGATCAGTCAAATGGGCAGGCTATTCATGAAGTGACCTGGCCATCTATAACGGCCTAAAAAAGTGGGAAAGGTGACACGCTTCCAATGCTTTCGTTACATGTATACCTTTAACCCTAACCGAACACAACCCATCAAAGTTCAACAGCAGGTTTGTGTTTAAATCTGTTAGGATAGGTACAGTACCCTAAACAGATGGTCTTTTACACTGGGGTTGGCATACCTCCAGAAATTAAGTCCGATAGTGTGTGTGTACAATTTCCCATGTGGGTGTTGGATTTTGCCTGAATGGGTATGGTTCCTAGTAAAATAGGCTGGGGAGTTAGGGTTAATGTTCAGGCCACTTCTATGGTTCAGCATCTCCTTATATGCAAAACATATCAGTGGTTCTCAAGTACCTGGTTTTAGCCGGTGCGCGCATTGTGCGCTGCGCGCATTGTGCGCTGGCACATGTGGTACAGAGTGCAGGGTCCCACAACCGGTGTTAAACATCGCTGACTGGTGTTTAAACAGTTAAGACTACTTGACGGACTCTCGACCAACAGGAATCTGTAATCTGTCCCAGGTATGTACAAATGATTATTTTAAAGCTCCCACAATTATCAACAATCGATAAGTCTTTGTAATCTGAAATTGTTGTTTTGTTTTATTCATAGATGGCTCCCTCATGATGGCTACTCCAATAGATCCTCTCTTCCTGATCTTGCCATACCTCGTGAAAGCAGAAAAGGTGAGCTGAAGTCAGGAAAAAAAAAACATTTTAACTCAAGTTTCTGTATTATTGCCCAGGAAGACCAGTTTTGTGATAGCTGATGGAGCTGCGTTAAAACCAATAAGTAACATTTCAATATCAACAAAATTATTGATGATTAGAGAATAGGAATAAGAAACTGGAATGAATCATGCTATCACTTAATATTACTTCCTCTTTTGTGAAAAAATAAAATTTTGTACACTGCAACTTTGAAATTTTCTGTGTAGTCTCTATCCACAATCTTGATAAATCAGGGTTCCCGCGACCTGGGGAAAAAAAACCTGGAAAAGTCGTGGAAGTTTATTTTCAATTTTTAGTCATGGAATTTTGTGAGGAACAATTGTTTTTTAAATTTTGAGCTTCGAATATTGATAAATTAGCATTGGAAATCTGATTTGTATACCCGACAAAATGCAACACATTTCGCCGATACAAGCATTTTCATTTTGTCTTGTTTGCCCTGGTATATATCCCCCAAAATGTGATAAAGCACCAAACAAGTTTTACAGTTTTGATCTGCATGTTGATGAACTAGGTCACAGATTTTCATAATTTTGGTTATGGAAAAGTCAGGGAAAAGTCATGGAATTTTATTGCCCTAAAGGTGCGGGAACCCCGATAAATTCATAAGGTGACATAAACTGTCTGGTTATTTTGTTTGCCTTTTAGAGTGGGAAGTACATAACACTGGACCAGATTCTGGACGATGCAGATTATCCACAATGCCACCGGCTGGCCAGGTGTTCCGGAGCCTCTCACCTGCACTGCATATCCAGCGTCAGGGGTCAGTTGCTGTGTTTTTGCCACTGCTCTCCATATCCATACACAAGTCACATAGTTGAATTTACTTTACCAGTTCGCCAACGGTCTTTCAAAAATGACCGCGTATATACAAACGTTCTGCGTGTGCACACTGCAGAACGTTGATGCGCATTTGGGTCTGCCATGATTAAACTTCCAAACTGTGCAAAAAGTGAATTGCGTTATTCAAAAGTAAACCATAGCATTTGACAAATTGTGAAACGTGGTCAGTGCGGTGGACAAAACCTAAAACCAGGTGAACCCGGGTGTTTCAAAGACCTTTATAGATCACCGGCCTGTCTCTCCAATATTGCTTCAAATGGCATTCTTCTGCAGCTTTTTGTACACTTTCCAGTTTTTCTATAGAGATCAGTGGTTTTTGCAGTCTGAACAAAGTGAACATTAAGAAGCAAGTCTGTACCAAGCTATTTCTAACCACAGTTATGAGTAGGCTTGTGCGTTATTAGATTTTGATAGTCCAAGGTATACCGCTACAAAAATATGGCTGTATTCAGTATTATTGGGTACTTTTCCGGGCAGACTATTATGTTATCAAAATGCAATAAAAATGTTTGATGTTTAATCATTTCGCGACGGATTAATTTGACATCGACTGGACCCAGGCGCCGTATTGTTTTTCTCGAACCTCGATGCCAGACGGGTTCAGGCCATCATCTGTGGGTAGCCTACACCCTGATATTTTTGGCCTCGCTCGCTGACAGATATTTCCGGCCTTGCTCGTTGCTTGTATATCGGTCATCCGTTCCGAATACCGCAAAACTTTAGCGTGTGTAACGTCATCTGACGTGAACTGGTTACTAGAGAAACTGCAAACAGGCAGCATGAACTTTTTTTCAGTCGATGTCTGATTCAAAAGTGAATAACTTATGTATTACTAGAAAAATAGCAATTAAGAAAAGGATTCTATTTTTCGGGATGAAATTTAAAAAAGGCACGAGGAATGCAACTTTAATTTTTGGTTGTCAAAAGTGATATCTAATCAATCAAAATGTATATTACCTTAAAAATTGACAACTTGTCCATCGTTTGTAAGTTGTTGTGTTTCAAGGAATGCAGATTGAATTTTTTATTTTAGGAGCGTCAGATGTACAAGCATATCGCTACGACTCCGATAAGGCTCTAGACTGGCTGAAAGCCAAGGTAGAGAGGTTAGCTGAGAAACTGGAAGAGAAGAATGTCCATGTCATATCAGGGGCGCACTCCGCTACGTTTGTTAGGAGCAGTAAAGGCAACGATGCTACGAAAGGTATGAAAAAAAAACCTATTTGTAGTTATTGTGTTAAGGTCTGCATATACGCGAGTCAACATTTCAGCTCAATGTGGCACTTGCTAGATTGTCATATGTGACCTGTTCTGTCAAAATCAGACTTTTCTGGGCATAAGGTCGAAAATGATATTTTTACATATTGTTAACATATGTTCTTTTTCCTTTTAATAGGTGGTTTAATTTTTGAAACCGGTCATTCCTGGGCAGAGTTATGCTATTTTGAAGTTCATTGTGTCGAAAAGTAGAAAACGGAGAAAATGGCCACAAACGTCACAAAACAATTATTTCTTTAACTGATTTACCTTATTAAAATCATCAAAAATAATAGAATTCAAAGTAGGGTTTCATACTTTTATAATATATTTTAGACTTGTTCAGGATTACAAATATGCAAAAATTTCAAAATCGATAAAAATCACCCCCACAGCGTTTTTTGGCCCTATCTCAATTTCAACCTCTGCCCAGAAGCGTCTGCTTTTGACAGAACAGGTCACATATGTTATTCATTATCTTCGTTTGTTTAAACAGCTTTTCATCTTGAAGTCATATTCAACTGTTTATGACCAGACCCAGTGGTTGATTTTGGCTTTTTGACATTTATAGTTCTTGTTCTTTTGTTTCTAATTGGACAAATTCAAGTGGATGGGCACTGAACATTCTATATTTCTATCCTTTGATGTATTTACCTTTATTTCCCTGATTGCGTTATTTTCGCTTTTGTTTTATTTTTTCCCTTGACAGAGGACTATCTGAGGTATGCAGCCGGCATGCTTTCCGACTACATCACATCTGACCACAGCAAACAGCTTTTCAGTCATTTAGGGTAAGCCATGTTGTATCACGTGTTTTAAAGGCATATAGCATCATTTGCATTTATCCTAAAGTAACCTACCCAATAATTATCAAAACATTTACTTTGATTAAAGATTGTACCGGTACTAAACTCACTGTGAAATTATTCGGTGTGGCTTGCTGTCATTTGGCAGAAATATAAAACTGTAGGTGATTTTGAAACGATCAATCAACTGACTGATTTTTGGAGAAAAACAAAGAGTTTTATTGAAGAAATCGTGTTTCGTGATCAAAAGGTTATTGTTACAGTCCCTCTTCTGTTTGTACTTTTAACTTTTAAGGAAGTCCTCCCATATGTGTTGTACTCGAATCCAAATTGGGGCCCTCTCAGGAATTGGGGATTCTATTGTCCTCTATTGTTCAACATCCCAAAAACTCACACCATAAATCTCCTTTTGATTCCACGAAAATGTACAAATACCCATTTATTTATATTTATTTTCAGGACAAGGCTGGTATTTACAATTGTCGTTTAATTACATGTTGCTTGGAAGACAAAAATGTTAAGAAAAACAAGCAAACGACCTATTTCATTTACAAAAAGAACACATTCGTGGAAAAAAACAATCGCTTTTTAAAAATATAACTCATCTGATAAAAAATCCAAATATTAACTACATAGACATTTCAGCGGTTATTTTTGAAAGGTTATTTTCTGTCTTATATAGTCTGAGTATTATGTTTGTATGTGAATTAGTATCTGTAACTACTGAACTTGTATGGGGCGGATCCAGGGGCGGATCGTACCATACTTTCAATGGGGGCGCTGTTCAAATCCGACCATCATTAACGCTGTATTACAGAATAGTGTACAGATAGGCCTAATTCTGTTGGCTCTGTCCGAATTTTTTGCACAGGCGGACATTGTAACCTATCTTTTTGGGGCTTGTCACAGCGGGGGGAGGGGGGGGGCTTTACATTATGTGTTATGTATTTGAGTCAGAGCTGAAGGGGGGGGCTGACAACCCCCCCCCCCCCCCACCCTCCTCCCTCTGGATCTGCGCCCGATACATATACATGTATATATGCCACTCATATAAATAGATTTGTGCATTTTTTTGCATGCAAAATACCTATACGGGAAATTTTGAATGAAAATGGTCGAAATTATGCCAAAAATATTACTTTTCGACCGATTTGGTAAATCACTTGTGGTAGGCTGGCGCCCTCATAATCCTTTAACAATAGACCTACATCTCTGTTAAGGTGTAGAACCCCCCCCCCCCAAAAAAAAAAATAAATAATAATAAATAAATAAATACAAATAAAAAAAAAATAAATAAATAAATAGAGGTTCGCGTTTGTTGTTACAAACGCAGAGTGGTCGGGCAGGCAATTTGTTCATGAAACACTGCCGAGTTAAGTTATGAATATGTTTATGTAACAACAAAGGATCACAAAATTAAATCCTTTCCATCACAATAAATTATTTTGCTGAAAAATGCATCTTTAACAGTGTGCTAAATTTCCATAAATATTTTATGTATACATACATGTACGAGTTATTTCTGGCTTGATGACGTCATTCTTAAAAAAAAAACGCGAAGTGAATACTGATTTAGTTCGGAGTGGATAAAATGTTTTTTGTGAAGTTAAATAACATATGCAAATATGGAAAATATAACTGTAAGTATTTATAACACCTAACTTCCAGTTCCATGATGTCACTAGTAGTTGGAAGCAAAAGATTAACATTAATTGTTATGGTATCGTTATTTGGGCTACGAAGATATACGACATGGATCAAATGATAGAATTCAATTTAAATTATGATCATTTTCAAATGCTCGTGGACGTAACTTCCGGTCTGATGACGTCATGAATTTGAACCTTGCCAAGTTATCTGTGGTTTATCAAAGAATATCAAGGGGCGATTTGGTAAAATTGGAACCGATGTTCTTCAGATTAAAGAAAACAAACACATTTGTATGTGGCGCTAGGGGGCACCCTTTCGGATTATGACGTCATCACACTGTTTTTTGTGACTAGCATTTCTCACTATAACTTGCATAATATATATGTCCGTAGTAAAATGCTTCCGCTTTGGCGTTATATTCAGTTTTCATTGCACTTCCGGTAACACCGGCAGTAAAGGTCAAGCGGTTTTGTGTCCGGGAACAAGAAATGTTTCTCACGGCATAGTCTACAACCTCACGAAAAAAACGAACACGATACTCTATTTAGTTCAAAAGATATAAAGCAATCTATTTTGTCAAAATTTGCCCTTAAATTGCTTGTTATTTAATACCTGATGACGTCATGATGACGTAACAAAATGTATTACATCTATGTAACATGGTACAATTTCACATACGTTTTTGTGATTGTACCGTTAACCGTTCGGAAGAAATTTTGCTTTGTTTTGATTTCCAGCTAACATATTCATTTTGAATTCACCTAACTTTGACCTCCCGGTAGACCCGGAAGTAAAGGTCAAGTGAGTTTACGTATATGACAAAAAATGTTTATCAATTATTGGGCTATCTGATTACAGAATACAAACATCATTGATTATGTTGTTCAAGAGTTATCGATGAACGTAATTTGTCACTTTTTCAGCTAAAATCGCTTGTAATTTGACATAATAACGTCAGAGTAATATGCACCACTTGGGGTGAGGGTCGATTTATATTGAAAGTAAACCGTTTAGGAGAAAACCCGCGGAAACGTGCTGTACGGAAAAGAAAGAAAGAAAGAAAGATTAATTCTAACAGATTCAAAGAGTGGTCGGGTTGTGCCCGACCACTCAATAACGGAAGGTATTGCCTGGCTTGAAAAGACCAGAAAGCTCTAATTTTTATTCCTTTACAATTTTTGGTATATCCAAAAATTAGTGACAGAACGGTTACATTGGAAGAAATTAGTGTACTCATAGTTTTCAGTTTTCCGTTTCTTCGTCTGAATTCTCTTCCGGTTGTTTCGGGCGATGAACGTTTGCTTCTATGTTCTGAAGCTCGATGTTGGGATCGAGCTCTGGCGGCTGATGTCTCCTGGCCACGCAGTTGTTATTGTTTATTCGTATTGGGATCCATTTACGAATGAGGGGGATGGCGTGTAAGACAATGGAGACTACGAGGAGAAGGAGTGCGACCAGAAAGGCGGCCATCCAAGGGGCATGAGGGCACGTCTGAGCGTTTTTAGTCTCGGAGTCATCTTCTGTTGGCCCATCATCTTGATCAACCCCTGCATCTCCATCATCTCCATCATCGTCATCATCTTCAGCAGCAGCAGCAGCAGCAGCAGTAGCAGCAGCAGCATCATCAACTTCTTCATCATCGTCGTCTGTTTTTGGTTGTTCTATGGCTGGAGTTGTAGGTTCAGTGAGAGATCCAGATGCAAGAGAGGAGCTGGTCATCTCTGGGAGTCCTGCCGGGGTGTACTCGGTGGCTGCTCCGGGTGCGCCCGTGACCCGGATCGGTCCGATGGTACACGAGCGTCTCTCATCGGGGAAATACCCCGACCAGATAGTGCAGTCGAAGGCCGTCCCATCGTCGCCAAGACCCACAGACAGTGCCAGCTCTGCCGAGACCGTGTCGTTCATACTGGAGGAAGTCCAGGAATACCGAGCGCACCGTGTGGGTGTCTGAGTCACCTCCATCGTGACCGCCGAGTTACCGCTGTCTGACGAGCAGCGCAGGTTGAGCTCCGTGCCGGGGTCGACCATGACGAGTCCACTAGGGGAGCATATCAGGGACATTGGTCCAGGGAAGTACAGAACCGACAATGCTACGCTTGATTCGCCCAGGAGGGACAACTGTAACGGTAATTCCGTTTCTGTGCAAAGGCTGCAAACATAATTATTGCTGTCCTCTGCACGAAGGTCAGTGATAACGATTTTCAGCAGATATCCGTTTTCAGTAGGTATTCCGTAGTAATTACGTCGGTTGCCTGTGAAGCTTACTTGAAAGTGTTCGTAGTAACACCTAACTTTGTTGTCCCAAAAAACGTGGTGTTTGCTGGAATCAAAGTTGGTAACCAAGCACCGCATCTCCAACTCTCCGCGCACTTTGCGATCGGCTTCTGGTGTTACGATCCAAGCACACACCTCTGGTGTAGCTGTGCTGGCAACTTGGCCACCAAGTGAACACAGAACGACGAGAACAAACAGGCACCTGTAACTCCACGCACCCATTGTGTGGATTAATCCTGGCTGTATCTGAGTTTAAAAACCAGGGCAAATTTAATGGAAAACATTCTGTGCACAAATATGTGCAAGCACAATAAACTACAAAGTGTCATAAGAACATCAAGCAGCCTCAGTAGCATACAGTATTTGAGTTTACCTTTCGCTGACGTGGCATATTATTTACTGTTCTGAGAACCTGAAGCATCGTCATGCTGCAGTACCTCAATAGGGCAGCAATATTACTCAAATAAAAGGTCGAGTAAGTTCACCTTAACAAAAGCTAACCGCAAGCCACACACAAAACCATTCTCCGCTCGTGTTGTTGCGTGCATATTTTTTTTTACTTCCTTCTTATTGTATAAATTCAGACTCGCTTGTGGAAAGGATTAAATCTGGGGGAAAAAAGGGAATAATGGTTCTGTTACAGGTACATAAAAATAACACAGGCCCGTTTCTATTATAGGGTTTGCCGGCTATTTTAACACTTGTATCACACAAATTCCCTATATCGATACTTTAATTTCATCCGCGAATATCCCCAAGCTCAATTCTCAATTTGAATTTCAAAAAGCCACCACTATATTTCATTTAAGGTTCAGTATAATTCAAATTGTTAGGATTCCGATTCCTCCAAAATCTTTGAAATTCGTCTCGTGAAGCAATCGATGGGAAAACATTTATTCAATTTTGTGCAATGATTTGTCGCAGAATCAAAGCAGTTGCAGAAAAGAAAGCCGCTGAGACCGACACGGCTTCAGAACCTCCCTCCAAGGTAAATCATAGTAAATTTATTTTTTACTACTCTAGTAAAGAATAATACAGTCATTATTAAGTGCTTATCACTGTGAGTTCCCAATGTGATATCAGTGAAGAATGAAAAGTGCTGAACTAAACCAATACCTCAGTTACTGCTTTTACCTCTTGAAAAAGTAAAGTTAATTTATTTGTAGAATCTGTTTTTTCTTCAGAATTTCCCAATATTTTTTCACCTTTTACAGAAAGCAAGGTTGTCCACTGCAAATGGCGAACCTGAAGAAGACTACAGCAAGAACTTTAACGGAAATTCAACAGAAAAACCAAAGGTCAGTGAGACTGATTACATATGCTCATGAATGGATCCAGAACACAAAAAATGTTTGGTCTGTCAAGAAGCGGGTCCAAAAAATTATGGATTCTAGATGCTCTGTGGTGTGATCTGAGGCAATTTTTGGAGGAAAAGATGGTGGTGTGCAAAGTGCCCGCCTTTATTACGACGTCACTTAAAAAAACAATTGGGTTGTTTGGGGGTTTTTTTGGGGGGGGATGGCCCCTGTTGCCCCCCCCCCCCAACACTGGATCCACCCTTGTAGATGCTAAAGTCAGGTCAAGTTGTACATGGGTTCAAACCCTGACGTGGTGGCGGTGTTTGTGTCCTAAGGCAAGACAGTTTACAACAATAATCCACCAAAGAGTGTAAATGGGAACTTCCGGTGGTAGAGAACAGATTGTGCTGATCTCAAGCTACTGTAGAAAACTGGCCCAATGAACAGGGGCAATAATTGTGAAGTGCTTTGACCAGAGACATGGGGGGATGGAACCGTCTTCACATGGGGGCGCTGTTCAAAGCGGATGATCATGGACACTATCAGACAATAGGTGGTGCTCTTCATTCCTGCAAATTTGGTGACGGACACATGATGTTTGCCTAAAGGAGGATGATATATTGCCATCCCAATTTTACTATTTAGCCCGTAGCACTCTGCCACTTTGCATCCCCTCCCTTCTCCCGGATACGCCACTGCATGTCGGACAATTAATAACTGCTGTGATTGGTCAAAACACCAGGGGGGCGGAGCTGAATGGATCAGTCTGTTGCCTTTACCTGTCTGTGCTCAGGATCAAAGAGTGAAGTTTCTGGCCTGCTTTACCATGAACTTGGTAACGACTTTTTTTTTTTTTTTCCCGTCCATTATTTTTTTTTTTTTTTAGCCCAAGTTGACGGCAGCACAAAGGGCGCTCAGCAAAGTCGACAAGACGGGAATGAAGAGCATCGCCAGCTTCTTCGGCAAACCGAAGAAGTCAAATTCTACGAAATAATTCCAAAATCCAGAGCGAAAGAGAGACTATTTCTGATTGACGCAGCTGTTGCTGTGGACACATTAACATCCATTAACACTTACATTGTATTACAATGTATTTACTCCTTGATAAATCAAACAATCATCGCCTGCTGGGGCAGTTTTGGGCGGTGTGGGCTCCGTGTACAAGTACATGTACCCCCTTAAGGGTTATGGAGGGAGAGTTGGTGGACCACTGAGAGGGACATACAAATGCATTGCCGCGAACGCTTTCGCTCGTAACCCCCCGCCCTGCAAACAGGACGCTGGGATACTCTGATGAATTCACGCTCTGATTGGTTGGATTTTGCGTGACCAGTGACCTGCGCGTCATCAAGGTCATGACTCTGCAAGGTTTGAAAACGCCGTTATTAGACAGATTCATTACTCTTTTATTCCAGTTTAGAGATTTTTTATCTTGTTGAAAAGCGTAATAATGTAGGAAATTCTGTAAAACTTATCTGTGTTGTAAATTTACAATTCCTGTCACTCGCTCAGGCTCCTTTTCGAATCACGAACGGTCAGATTGCATTATGCGACGCTCAAAATTTTGTCCACATGGTCCGCAATGAAACAGAAATCACATCCGGTATGGAATGTGCGCAAGTCTATGGGAAGTTTTCGGATAGCATTTGCGCACATTGTCTAACTGCGGTTTTGAACAGCTGCAGCAAGATGCTTTATACATAGGGTCATAAGCCACTTCCTTCACAAGATTGTGTGAAGCTCATCAGAGTATCCCAGCATCCTGTTTGCAGGGCCGGGGGTACAAGCGAAGCGAACGCTCTACGCTTGGACAAAGACGCTATGGTTTTGCGCACTTTCAGAATCAACGTCGTCTAGTCATACATACTTCGCACTATATGCAGGTAAACCGGTACGCCCCCACTGGGTATTCTGTCCGTGGAGTTCTCGAAAGTGGTAAAAAAGCGCCCTCTCTTGTTGGCGCACAGAGCCCACAAGGAGTAACAGGCAGGGCATTTGGGTCCTGTAGAGGGACTAATGATGGGCTAATAAAATCAGGTCCCTAGGATCAGGTGTTCAAATAAAAAACAAAGCTGTATTGGAAACACCACAGGGTTGAGGTTTGAATGAATGTTGTTATGAATTTTGAATTATTCAAACTTTCATTCATGATTCCTACTTAAAAAGACTCCCATGCCCATTTTGACACAATCATGTCAATTTTCGAGATTATATTTGTACAGGTGTATAAATTGCTCGTTATATAGGAATCAGTTGTTTATTGTTAATTTTCTGTAGATCGCTTTTCTGTAACTGAGAAAATAAAAGACCTTTTGTTTGAAGGCATATTTCTAATATCACATCCTTTTCTCTCCTTTTTTACCTGAGAAGTAAGAAAACACTGACGTGTTTGTAATGTTGACATTTCTATTAATCGTTAGTATCAGAGTTCCCACGGAATCTTGAAGTGAAATTGCATGACTTTTCCTGGACAAATTGGGATTTCTTAGACCAAGTCCTATGCTGATTGGGCATCTTATTAGGAGCCTATTGCTCTGGATGCAAGGGACCCGACTCCCTTTCAGCTTCCAGTTTGGCACAAGACTATGAGCACCACAGAATCATATCACAATGGTGTATTGAATGAGCAAGTATAGAGCATAAGGATGAGGTAGGTACTGGAATAAAGGCAAACTGGAAGATTGCCATAGCTAAATCAGGGGTGTGAATTCTCAGCATTAAAGCTGATTTCAGCTTTTTTTGTTATGGATTTCAGCTTTTCTCCCTCATTTGCTGTGTAGAAAAGTATAAGAGATTTTCAAATGTTCAACTTTTTTTACACCTTTTTCAGCTGTTTTCAGCTATTTTTATCAGTGGTCACTCGCACCCCTGTAAATAACGCATCATCACGTATGGGTTGCGCAGGATTTCATGACATTTCCATGGCTTTTATTTTCTTAGAATAGTTACTTTCCATGACTCTTTGAAAAAAACAAATCCATGAATGTCCATGACTTTCCATAATAGCTTTAAATTCCAGGATTTTCCAAGATTTTATCAGGACAGCAGGAACCCTGTAGTAGTATGAGTAGCAAATTGTGACCCAGATTTATGTCCCTTCGGTTTCCTCCATAAATCGATTTTTTGGGAGGCCACGCTTCTGTCCTCGACAAAACAAACGCAACCATTTCTTCTCGAGTGGCAATCAGTGCATTGTAAACAGGACCCAGTGCGACGTAGTCATAGCAACGGCTTGGAGTTGCCATGCCGACGGCCCCGGTCGATATTGGTATATACCACGTGCCGAATCGCGTATGTCAAACATCACATCCTGCGGCGGTGGCGTTGTCAATAAAACACTGTTTCGTGAAAAAAACAAAGATTCCACTATTTCCCTATCGATTTTAATTAGTAACGGCTCGTTCGTCCGTTCACTCTCTCCTTCATTTCGACCTTTGCTATTTAAATCGTTACTTGTGATGAGTGTGCTGCTGTGAAGGTGTAGCGTGTTTGTGCTTTTAACGTTTATAATTAAGCGCGAGTAGAAATATTAATGACCGTAATGAAACATATTTTGCTTGAGCAGAAGCGAAAAGTTGTCAGAGGTTTTTCTTGTTTGATTTCTGTGTTTGTGAAGCTGGTTGTTGGACTTTTCTGTCGCTAAAGTCTCTATTTTTTCTTCGAATACTGTTCTTCCAGCCGGTAGCGTTTTATGTTAGTTAACAAGCGTGAGCCCAATCGTCTTTTGTAAAACTGTCGGTGAAGCATCTGCCGTATATAGATTACTTAAAAGAAGACGAGAGAAAGTGCTCTTTTGGGGTTCGAAAACGAGTGTGCCGTGAACTGATATGGTTGAAAAGACCATTTAAACAGTGTCTTCAAAACTTACGTTGTCCGTTTAATGACCGCGCGAAAGAAACTCGGGGTACAGGTTTGATCCTCAAAACTCCGTATCCAGCTACTTGTATGATGATTGCCGTCATTCCATGCAGTCACGTGTTTCTTTTCAAAAGGTTGCGTCGGACACGTGTTCACTGGATGGCCATAATTAAGTGTTGAGTCTGAAACTGGCATGGAACCTGATACCCGACAGTGAACTTTCACTTTACGCGATAATGCATTTTATGAGGCACCAGTCTGTTGACACTATAGCTCCTGACTCGATGTAATTTTCTATATTCTGCTGGAAATCCGCATAGGTATGGGGAAAAATCGCTCCTGCGTCACTGGAAGCAGTAATATTATTTGCCGATTGTCGGTTGAATGTTCGCTTCATTAAAGGTCGTCATTTTCGTAGGTAGAAGAATTTCGCACAACTCTCCCCGGAAAGACACACATTCTTTACGCATACATTATGGTTTTCTTGTAAAAACTCCCGTATCGTTCTTTGCATTCATAGAGCCTCATTCTACATGCGCATATTATACATCATTGCGATGATTGCGTTTATATACGGACTATATTTTTAGGCCGAATAATGGCTGAATATCTTTTATTTCATTCTATAACAGTACTGTTGTGTATTGGCCGGGCTGCTAATAAAATGTGACACCATTGGACCCTAATTATAGCGTGCATTTTGTTTGCTACATTTTCAGACTTCAGTTCTGGCGAGAAGGTAACAACAATCATTCAAAGTTCAATACAGATTGTTCTGAATGATGTTGTTGAGAAACGGGGAACAGTTTCATCCATAACACCCAACAAGCATAGCGTGCGGTTTTCTATACTATAGTTAAATTAAGGGTGTTGCTTTTTTTGCCTATGTCGGCGAAAGGTAAAACTCAATATCAAAATCAGTTACATTTTTCCGACGCAAATTTCATATAAAAAATATCCGGATAATTCTCAGGTGTGCAACGTTTCTTTGGTTCAGCTAATTTCCTCTTTTTCACTTCACACTTATGCGATTAACATTTGAAAACACTGCATATAAAGTTTTATAAAGCTTAGAATTTCCTCTACTTCACAGTTGCATGCCTGATCCATTGTTCGTGGTGTGCAATGTACAATCAGCGTCCAAAGCACAAGAACCATCGTTATAAACAAACGGACTTCTCGGGCTTGATCGAGAAAAAAAAACACGTTCTATGTGGTGGAAATGACTGCTCGTTTCCTGACAGCAGCCTCAGCTATCGCCGGCAGCAGAGGACCCTTCTTTCCTTTTCCCTTTCGCTTTGGCGCTGGTTGCTGTCCGTCCCTTATCGCCGATATGTTATCGTAATCCTTGTCATGGGGAGCATTGGGATAGATCATCCGGCCGGACTTGGTCTTGTAGGTCTTGAGCTCCTCCTTGCTCCGCTTGGACTTGTTGTGGGGGGCAGGGTTGAGAGGTTGAAGCTCCGAGAGACCCTTTCTCGGGACGACAGCCCAGTTTGACTTTTTGGCCGGGGGAAGCCGCGACTGCTCCTGCGATGGTGTCCTTGAACGGGGGCGTGAAGGTGGTCGGGGAGACTCTGGTTTCCCCTTCGCTTGTTCAGCTGCTCTGGCTTCTGCTTCCTTGGCCTGAGCTTCTTCCTTAGCTTGCGCTATCTTCCGCGCCTCTTCTTCCCTAGCTTCAGCCTTCTTGCGCGCTTCCTCTCTTGCATGTGCTTCTGCCTTTTTCCTAGCCTCCTCTTCTCTGGCATGAGATTCAGCCTTCTTGCGTCCTTCTTCCCGAGCTTGTGCTTCTGCTTTCCTTCGCGCTGATTCTTCTCTAGTTTGTGCTTCTGCTTGTTTCCTCGCTTCGTCTCGAGCTTGAGCGGCTGCCTTCGCCTCGGCTTCTACCTTCGCCTTTGCTTCTGCCTTCGCCTTGATTTCTGCCGCGGCTTTTTCTTGCGCTGCGACCTTTGCTGCAGCTTCTGCCTTCGCCCGTGCCGCTGCCTTTGCCTGTGCTTCAGCTTGCGCTTTCGCCTCTGCTTCAGCTTTGGCTTTTGCCTCTGCTACAGCTTTCGCTTTCGCCTCTGATTCAGCTTTCGCTCTCTCCTCTGCGTCAGCTCTCGCCTTCGCCTCTGCTTCTGCCTTAGCTTTCGCTTCTGCTTCCGCCTTCGCTTTTGCATGTCCCGCAGCTTTCTTTTCCTGAGCCACTTTGAGTGCTTCCTCGAAGGCATTTGCAGTTTGCACAGTCTTTGCAGCTTTCCGCCATTTTCCAGCGGCTTCACCAGGTCCTTGTTGTGTGTTCTGTGGATAAGGTTCATGGATTACCTGATTACCGTAAGGTGTTCCAGGTAAACCCTGCGCATTCCTTCTGTACTCCTCAAAGCGGTCATGCCTTTCCTTAGTAAAATCAGTCTCTTGGCATTCTGGGGGCAGGTACTTCCTCAGGAACAGTGGGATGGTGGAGTGGTCAGCACGTCCCTCCTGCACCAGTATGCCGCAGATCTCGGCGTTCTGCTGCTTGGCCGCCAGCAGGAGCGGTGAATCACCTTCGGAGTTCTTCATCTCCACGTCCACCGTGCCATGTCTGATGAGTGTCCTGACCGCGTCAGCGTTGTCTATCTTGACGGCGTGGAGCAGGGCCGTGTCGCCGTCGTCGTCCTGAAGGTTAGGGTCTGCCTTGCGCTTCAAGACCATCCCCAAGATCGGCACCACCTCGGGGCTTTCCTTGCAGAGCACCATCAGCGCCGTTCGGCCGTGGTTGTCCCTGAGGTTCACATCTGCACCTCTCTTAAGCAGGACGGAGGCAATAGCGAGTCTCTCCTCCTGCCCACTCAGAAGGCAAGCCCGGATGAGAGGTGTCCGCTGGAACACGTCCTGGGCGTTGACGTCAACTCCTTCCCCTTCAACCAGTTGCCTTGCCGCCGTGACATCCTCGCTGTTGATGGCGTTGAAGAGGCTCCGTTCCTTGGCCGATAAGATGCGGATGACTTTGTTCTTCTTGCTACCCGACATACTGAGATGCTGTTATTGATAGGTGCGTCTGGTATTAATAGCTGTAAATAGAAAGAGACACACAATATAAATGTCTTCGTTTTGATGGAAATAGTTATTAGTTGGTAGCCACTCCAAAAAGACATGTTGTACCAGTTGAATATCATGCATGTGGGTGAGCCGAAACTTGACGGGTGCTGTTCCAAAGTTATGAATTTGAACACTGTAAAATAACTATTGTATCACAAAAAGTGTTTTATGGGCTTTCTCGAAATATGTTTCTTGCAGACAGCCATTGCTAAACGAGCGCCTTTGATTTTAAACCGAGGTATAACCGAAATTCTTCTTGTAACTCTCTTATTCTCAAATAATGAATATTAACGCTATCCGACTGCGGATTACGGTTTTATCGAGAAGAGTCAATATTTCCTCTTTTTACCCCAGAATTTTACAAAGAAATTTGTCCGTCTAAATCGTCTGGTCCCTACTTTCAGTGGGTGATAAAGTGATCACACTCTTTGGAAATATGAGAGAAAGAGATACGCATTGTCGCGCGCAGCGCACTGTGTGTTTATGGGATCAGTTGCATTGATCTTCAAAGTGACTAACGGAATTATTATCAAAAAGCTTTACTTGGATGAAAGATCGTACTTTTACTTGACAACCCGTGAAATTATTCCGTCTGGTTTGCTGTCACTTTGAAGAAATCTGATGTAGATGATTTCCAACGATCAGTCAATCAATTTTGGAAAAAATGAGTTGTAAAGACGAAGTCGTGTATCGTGATCAAAAGGTTGTGCATGTTTTTTCACTGTTTTCTCGAAAAGTGTAATATCCACTGAGCTCAAACAGTGAAACTTCAACAGGTTATGTTTTGAACATTCGTCTTTGGATTTTTAGTCGTGTATATTATTGGAACGAACAAAATACATGACATGATCCTATGTGCAAATGATTCTATAAGCCTATGCCTCTAAGGGGAATCGTTTGAATATATTTTGGGGAATACAAGCTCATAATGAATAACAATATAGGCCCAGCAACACAAAGTTGGTATTGATGTATCCATGAAACTTTGAACCATTTTGCACCGACACCTTCTACTTATTGGGGGGGGGGGGTAATGTTGCTCAGTCTTTCACGGCTATATGAATGCAAGAAAGGCAGATAAATCACCCTCCATAAAGCAACCACACTGAGTGCGCGTAGCTATGCATGGTTTTGTTTGCCCGGTTCAAACTAGAATTTTCGTCCCGTTTTCACCACCCGGTTTTGCATTCATGATCTATTTTCACCGTCCCAATTTTGTCTCTATCAGCGCCCCGGGCCCGATTTTACTTTTAAATCTCTACCCCGTTGCACTCTGCCACTCTGTACCCCCTGGCTTTGCCTCTGATCCCACAGTGCTTATCTTATAACTGAGATGTGCAAATTATTTTGAATATTATCCTTTTTCATGCGGCCTATTGGGGAGACGCCTCCTTCATTTGATTTAGTTTTTTGTTTCCGGCTTGTCTCGTTTTCACCATACACAAATAATTTATTCCATGGGAAATTTATTTAAAACAAATCTTCAGCCACATTTTCATTGGTTTCACAACGACACAGTTCGTAACACCTGTACTGCATTACTTGACGAAAACCAGACACCTTATTATAATAAAATTGAGCACCAAACACGCACGACGCTCCAAAACGAAATCACACAAATAAATGTTCTTCATTTTTTTGTAAAGTGACTTTGAGAATTAACGATTTTATGTCGATAAGTGCGTCGGCCGTTGCCACCGTGCGGTAGCAACAGCCCAATCGAAATCCACTTCTCGTTTCGTTTTCAAGGAAATTTGTGCGATGTTTTGGTTCTCGACAGTCTGCATAGTTGAGGTACAGATACTACGGTCATGTTTGACATATAATCCCGTGGACCAATTCAAACGCAATTATTTTTGTTTTAGAGAATTTTTCTGGCAGGATGGAAACGTCTTCTCCGATAATTAAAAAAAAATATGCATTAGAGCTCATCCTATTAACTTAACGTTTCTGCAATTTTGTATTTAAGTTTACAGAGAAGTAATATTTGTCAACAGCCAACAATTACGGACATGTTCATTGTTGATATATTTTTAAGTTTGAAAATTTCAATCGGGCATTGTTGTATCGTAGATATAGCACGGTGTAATTGGATACTTTTTTGTAATCGCCTGACACTCGGTTGAAGTTTCTAGCTAACTAAAGTTAAATAAAAAGTTTGAGTGTTTCCAAAAGATATGGAGTGAATTATCATTTAGTAAAACTAAATTTGCCGAAAGAAACGAACAACACAAAACTGCATAGCAACAACAAAATAAACACCACGTATATCCGCACACTTTGACAATAAATTGGTAAATGCATTGAAGGGATCTTAAATTAAGATGAACAATATTTACAATTTCATTATTCGTTAAAAGTTCAATAAGACACTTCCACAGTAGGCCTATAGTCCAACGGTGTGTTTTCATGTACCAACAAGAAAAAAGTATATGTTCGTGTATAAATGAAAGTTCAAGTGAACTGCCACTGAAATGTGTTCTTTCTCACGTTAAACATTAATAACAAGGTACCTCCGGGGCCGAGCAAATATGCTCATGTTATAACATTAGTCTGGCCTGTTAAAACCGTACGTTAATCATTGAGCCAGAGTCTGGAACGGTCTACATGTATATATAATAGTAGCTAATCATTGTCTTGCACATAAACAAACGCCATGAGTCTTCCCTGAGTTCTCTGATGACACCAGTTAATTCAGCTCAGCAAAGGCTACTTTAAAAAAAAAAAAACAGTGAAAATTCATCTTAATTTTTTTCGACGCAAAGGCGAAGTTTCCGTTGAAAACTCTCCCTTTCCAAAATGTTTATGCGTTGTGACTTGCACCCTATTGTGGCACGATCCTCAATTTGTCACCCGGGGAAAGTAATTCTCATTCAGGGATGCGTACTTATATACGTAACTGATGGAAAATTAAACTAAATTCTGTGAAAAAAGGAGGCAGTATTTAAAAGAAGCCATTTCGGACCGTAGCTCGGTCCGAATAAAAGCGAAAAAATGCTGGTAAATCCTCTTGTCTTAAACATGATTATATACTTTGCGCAATGATTTTACAAGATGCTTTTCCTACTATTTACATCAATCGAGTAGAGTATTTCATGTTTTGGCAGTTTGAATGTTTGCAAATTGTGTCCGTTAACATTATAAGTACAGCACGGTGGGCATGGGCAATACTGACATTGAAATTCAAATCCCGTCCCAAAAATCAACCGTTAAAAATTGAAGTATAATTTCTCACTTTTTCTAGTTCTAAAAAGAAATTCCACATTGCATTGCAATGCTGTGAAATCAATTTTTTTCAAAAATCATCCTAAATAATTTGCTTAAGTATTCTCATATCAGTCCCCTGTCTCTTGCTTAAATATTTTTGCCTTTGAGAGAAACAATATCATCAAATGTCAGAAATGTCTAGGCACAGTGATACTGCATCCGATGCGGAAAATGGGTTGAAAAATGAAGCCATGCGTATATCACCATGCATAGAGCAATTAGGGCAATACTGGTGATGCAGACTCCATTATCAAGTAGAACATGCTTACCTTCAATGAAATACGCCGTGTATACCGATTTGAAGTCGAGAGGTGCTGCCAATTTCGCTCCAGTCATGCAGTTAAACCCCGGCCCCACGCACGCACTGATGGACCCGTCTAAACTCGAGAGATCACATCTTTCAATCCATATGCAGTCACAGTATGTTGTTGCCGAACTTCCAGCAACTCGTTCTTGCTGTTCGATCCAACAACAAAATCTACCATCGTCGTCTATAGTGCATCACTTGTCGAAGAACCAACTGCTAATAAGTGACGATGCCCGCCTGCCGGCTTCGTGCCATTCTTTCTTGACAAAAAAACGCTGGCTTAAATTCAGTAAAATACCGGTAAGAACGGGTATAGACACCGAACTGCATCTGATACGTCGTATGTGTAGGCCTAAACTACCGGCACACCACAATTTCTGCATCGCCCGTGTCGGTACCTACATCTCTCTGAAAGTTCTGGATTGCCACGTGACGCCAGTGACGTCATTGGTAGCGTCAATGGTGGTGGACATCAAGCCTTAGCCCAACAACTAACCATTCACCATGATAATTGTGTCCATATACCTTTAGGCCTAGTTCTAGCCGTAAAGACCAAAGCGGCTGTGAACATATGTCGAATAATATAGCGACAGTTATAGGTGCCAGACCACTGCAAGTACCCAGCAGTGAATAACCTGCAGGTTGGCAGGTTAGCATGCTTTATTTAATTTTGTAATGGAAATTAATATTTGATGTATCGATTCATATTTATTAAATTGCCTACATTAAGCCCATACGTTGGTCACGGATGGGCAACCATAATAGTGTGACAACCACTACGGTAGCAATTTACCATCAACAGACTTAGCCTGTGATGCCTCCGAATCCATGTAAAATCCAGAGTGCGTCGTTTGCAAATTCTACTTGGTGATTGAAATATCCTGTGAAATTACTGGCCGCCTGAAAAGGTAGTGTCAGGTGATAAAAACACATTGAAGGTGGTTTTTTACATTATATTGCCCGTGGACACACTCTTTTACGTGCGTTAACTGCGGAATCCATTTACGTAGTAACTAGACCAGAACGAGACCAAAATTGTGCGCATGTTTTCTACGTTTTCTCAAAACGTATTGTCGCCTCTGAGCTAAAAATGTCGTCAGGTTATTTTTTTATGTATTTTCAGCGAATTTGTTGCTTCAAACCTCTCTATGAAAAAGGCTCCTAATGACGAGGTCATTTATTTTTGATTTCGCAAAGCCAGGGTACGTATTGTCCGTAACGGCTGCAAAATGCCAAGGCCGTCACACTTGAATACAACCTGAAACGGCGTAGAACTGACTTTCAAGCAAAAAAAAGAAGAGCTCTCCACGCTGGAGCCTATATTGACCGCCTCCAACGATGAAAAATGTTAAAACAACGAACTTTGTTGTTTTTCTTGTGGGATTTGTGGCCCTTTTGGTCTCATGATGAAAGCTGTTTAAGATGTTTGCTGTTACCATGCCAATGCCCTAAAATGTCGGATGATTTGAAGTTTCTCAGCTCTCTTATCGTCCACATTTTGTTGACTTTCTTTTCTCTTTGTCGTGTAATGTCTAACTTTCGCATCGGTTGTAAAGTTATGAAATGAACTGAATTGGGGCTTATATATGACATTGAAGATAGCGTTCCATTCGTCTGTTAAATGTTTCATGTCCATTATATAAAACGACATTGTACTTACCTGCGTATAACGGGGGCATACCAAATGGGGTCAGTAGTTTACTTACGCCTGTAAACGGATGTATAGTATTTAATAGAAAAAAGTCCTTAGCAATAGTTCGGTCTAAACTATTTGAAGTATTTGAAGTACTTCTTTTCTTGAAAATGAAATGATGCTTAACATGATGCTTGTTAAGACTATTACCCAGGTGAAAATTCCGGTTCAACTGGAAATTGGTCACTGGTTTCATTTCCGGGTTTCACTGGTTTTTAACTGGTTTAACTGGTTCGAATTAAGTCACTTCAATACCAGTTCAGTACTTGTTATATTCAAGCAGGCAATTTAAATAACTTGAATTCGGTGGCTTTGTTTTTTAGAGTGTTTGCACAATGTTGTTGATTATCTTTAAAGGGGGTTTTGTGTACGGAGGCCGTGGCTAATAATGGGCCCTCGATTCAGTTTAAGTCGCTTGTTTTTAGTGGTGTGTGGGGGGGGGGGTTAAATTCGTAATTGACTGCATTTTTAAAGGTAGGCTAGACCTGGTGTTGCATGTAGACACGTGAGCTGGGCGCACAGTTAATCAAGTATGCATTAATTGACTAACCAGCTGTCACCCTAGACATGCCACATAATGCCAAACAATATTACAAATTCTCGAATATTATTTATTTAATTTCTTTCTGGTAATGAAACCATGTCAGGGTCCCCCAAAAGTGCCTTAGGCACTGCAGCTCGAAAGCCTGAAGAAACATGTAGAGAGAAGACAACGAGAAGAAATTACAGTTTTAGAGGTGGGAGGAAAAGCCCAGAGGAATATTCTGAGGAAAACCCACGGAACCAGGTGGGGACTGAAAACCCAATCCACATTATTGGCCCTGGCGGGATTCGAGCCCGGGTCACAGCGGTGGACGGCGAGGAAAGTACCGCTACGCCAACCTGACTTGCCGCATTTGTTAGTTTAAAATAATAAATCAAAAAGGGCAGAACATAGTATCGCTACGCCAACCTGACTTACACAACCAGGCCTCATGAAAGACAACAAGGTGTACATAATTAGCCTGGCTGATGCCTCGTAACGTTTCAAGGTACTTATTGACGGCGCAAGGAGAGCGTAACCATTAAGCTATGGTGCGCCGACCTTGTTTTCCGAGACAGCTGTTGCCAAGCGACGACGTTGACCGAGATCGATTTTTTTTCTCTCTCAGTCTTTGGGTGACAATGTTTTTGCGGCTTTTGCGCTGTGTAAGGACTGAAATAAGGTCTGAGCGAAATAAGGTGCGACACGTGTTGTATGGTACTTGGTGATGTCTCGTTTCCATCAATGTTTTTTTAATATAATTAATAAGCCTCCAGTAATTATACCATCTTTATGCGTCTCAGAGGGAGGTGCATTTTGGGGATGATAAATAATATAAACTGGTATCGGGCATCTTGTAACACATTTTGATTACTCACGCACACTGTATTGGCTTATGCAGCAGCTAGTAGTGTGTGGGGGAAAAGTGACTGTTTTCTAAATTGAGTGTCCAAAATTCCTTGTTAATCTTTAATTTGTAACGGAGAGTATTGGGCCTAACATTAAGTGTTTTAAGACCAAGACATATTTTGTTGATTCCTATAGCAAGCATTCCTTAAATAACACCGGAACCATCTAAGTCATTATAATCCCCAAAAGTATTAAAATTAAGCAAAAGATTGTTGTGGTCCGAAATGTAATACAATTCGTTATAACAATAAATAAAGCATAATATCCACTAAATAAAATCCTTCTAGGACTGTGCCCTTTTATGTCCAGATAATTATATTTATAATGCAGCATGTTTTCGCAACCGTGGAACGGCAATTAGCCAGGGCTTCAGGATACTCTTTCAAAGAAAGATGAATTTTGGTTGTCGTCATATTGCTGTTTCTCGTATCCCCTGCACGTCCAAATTCCACGTCAGAACGTTCCGCGGGCGCGAGCGCGAGCGCTCCGTTTCCCTATTGGCCGGCACGCCGTCCTCCCTTCGCTCATTGGTCGGCGGAGCGTTCACGCCCTCCTCGCTTATTGGCTGCAAGTTGTTCGCCACCGGCGTTTGGTCGGCCGGGGCCGTGACCGGCGGTGGTGGTGGGTTCACCACGGGCCGCGGGCTGCCCACTTTAGGGTCGCCCAGCCGGGACCGTTTGACTGCGGTTTTGGGCGGGACGGGTGGGCCGGTTTTCGGCTTGTCGGCGCCCTCCTTGCTCCCCCGGTCTTTGCCCCTCGGCCGGTGGTACGACCTGGTCGCCATCATGGTCTCGGACTTCAGCAGCAGCTGAAACAGCGCCTCTTGTTTCTTCTTCAGGTCGGCCTGGAAACAACGGACCTCGCTCGCGTTCTGGCACATGCGCAGTCGCCTCAGCAGGCGAGGCTCCGCCTCCTTTATCTTAGTGACGGACGCTGGTTGGTGGAGAGCCTTAGAAATGGCCTCGTTGACGTTATGCGCCTTTTTACTTTTAAAATTCTCGTTGCCTGCTGAAACAGTCAAAAGTAGCAAAGAGAAGAACTACATTGTATATACTTTCTACTTTTGAACAAAATGCCCATTCAGATGGCAAGCCAACGGGGTTGTTTACATCTTAAAGATTATACAACAATGCTGATTCTTGCTCAGTGATGTTTAATATCAACTGTTTACACTAACAACAAAATCTTCTCTAAGTTTTGTAAATAATTACGTCAAAGTGTGGGCTATCTGTTAAACATCCATACAAGCGAACAGGCAAGAAAACCAGCTCCGCATTACGCCTATAATATAGGCCTAGGCCTGCCCATACTCCGCCTTAAGCTTTATTCCAGGGCGCGCTTCCATGACAGTTTTGGAGAATTTCTTTTAATTTGTGAATGAAGGAAATGATAGTGTTGTTACCATTTTCACCTGATAGTTCCCTCCAAACTTCCACCGCGGCCGCGATCATTTCTTTCCTCTCCCGATCTAGTTCCCGCCGCTCCTTCAGCACCGCCATGAACTGCCGGTTCATCAGCTGGTTCTCGCGGGCCATGTGCAGTTTCTCCACCTCGATGTGGAGCAGTTCCCTGTGCATCCTTTTCAAACAAGTTTGGAAAATGTTTCAGAGGATTAAAGGGATTTCAAAGTTACAGGGTTGCACGGAGGGAGAAAGACCATCTGTTGTAACCACTATCGTTATAAACTCTTCGTGATGCTACCTGTAATCTATCCAAGAAAGCCATTTCTCCAACTTTGGTAGCGACTCTGGCTTTGGCTCCGCAGTCTTTGTGCCACAAACCAGTTTGGGGATCGGAGCATTTTTGTCTGTTCTATAGTTATTCAAAGACTGACGTGTTGACCTGAGGCAAAGACGGAACTGATGCGGAGGCCAGGTTTGGCGAATGTGGGGTTGGCCTACAAAAGAAGTTTAGGGAAAAGTATAGGCATACACTAGCGTTGTCTAATTAGTGTAAGTAACGTTGTAAAGGTATGTAGCGTATATGCTACGTTGTAGCTTGTTTTGTCCTTTACTTCGTGGTTGTGCACACTGTGATTTAGTATTATAGGCCTAACCTTTCCATGTCAAATTCTCGCTGTAGTGCTTTTCTCTGGCGCTCGATCTCCTCCTCGAGCTGTTGTGCGACAGGGGGCGCTGTGTCCCCATTTATTTCTTCCTCTGCCGGAAGTTCCCCACTTGTCGTTTGATCGTCGTCAACGTTGTTACACAATGTCGACACCGGCACCATCATAGCGCCCTCGCTTGACTTGATGCTGTTACTGTCGTCATCGTCAAGCCCTGTGGTTTTGGTCTCGCGGTTCGATGACTTGCTTCGGTGACGTAGAAAAATGCGGGAAATTTGGCCTATTGCATTCGACATGACGGTTGGAGCTGATGTAGGCCTAATCGCGAAAATCTCTGCGATTTTGCAAGCAAATTAATACATACACAGTAAAGCCGTTAAAGTACCATTTTTAGAACCATGAGAAGAAAAACATTTACATTTTTGTTTTGCATGTAGCCTTGGAATCGAATTTTTAGAAACGCATTGTTTACTTTTCGACGCGCGCTCGCGTCTATTCATTTTGCGCGTAAGATTATCATTATCCGGTTCGTTAGTGTGACGTCACCTCCAGCACTTTCTGCACGATTGGAACCGGAAGTTAACGCAGCTCGAGTGTTTGTAGCCAATGGGCGCTAGTAATCAGTGGTGCGCGTGCGTGTATGACGTTTTTACTAACGAACCGGATGCACGTGCGCGCGTGCTTATGAATATTGATTAAAGGGAATATACAACATTTGCAAACATCGAAAAATAAAACTACCAAGTTTTTGCGAAATACCTTAATAGGATGTTGGTAAATGACAGTCTAAAGCATCCTGTAAAATTATGGCACCTGGTATACTGTCATTTTCAAGAAAAGTGGTATTTTTGTATCAATTTCCAACGCTGATCGGCCGATCAGCGTTGGAAACAACTGGCTTTTTTTTTCAAATACTGGCCCCAATTGACCATTGCACTTGTTTGCAATCGATTACAAACCTATGAACGGGTACGAGCCAGCTAGACTGGTTCCCTGACCTTACAATTCCCCAATGTATGTAAACTAGTCTGTTTCTTCTTATATGGAGTCAGGGAACCAGACTACAGGAAAATGATCGTTTTTCTTGGTTTTTATAGCATTTGCGAACCCAAAACCTCCTAAAAGTCAGTGTAACTATATTTGCTTTATATTTCCAACCCCCCAATTCCATCCATTTCTGAAATTTACAGCAAAAGCAAATGATGTATATTCCCTTTAACCACAAGGTATGTGAGTCTGTGCAAAAGTACCCCACAACAATCGGTTACGAAGGGCGAGTAAAGGAGACAACTTGCATGTAGGCCTAGTTATTTTTTTTCCCTTGAGGATTTTATTCAACCTCAAAGCAACTTCTCAGCTATACAAAAACTAGTTAAGAAACCAAGGCAATCACAAACTATCATGACCAAAATAACACATTTTAAAATACAAAGTAAATTTTGACACAGTACTTCAAAGGAGTCCCATTTGTATGATATTTTGCAATAGATCCATTTGTTATCGAGATGTACTTTTCCAAAGTAAAATAGCGTTTTAAATCAAGTTTCAATAGTGCAAGGCATGGTCGGCTGTTTATATCAAACCTCAATAGGCATAAAATAATTCCTCACTTTGTGCATTTTGTTGACCAACCATGAGTTTGATTGAATAATTTTCATATTAAATTGTTTCACATTTTCTATCTGCTTTTTTTTATTTCAGGATAATTGTCCTCAACATCCAAGGCTTACCACAACATGTAGTTGAAGCTTGCATTTCAAAGACTTGATGGTGTGGCATGCGAGTTGTAAGTATAATTCTCAGTTTCTCGCCAAACCTCTGAACGTATTATTCAAATCAGTCTCTCTGCACTCTGTGAGTCACACATGAGTCTGTTTCAAATCAATGTACTGTCCGTATAACCTGTATAAAAATAGACCTATCCTCAAGCCCCACCCCGTGATGTTTTTGACCAATCACAGCCCGTGATAGCGCATCCAAATGTCGGACAAAGGTCTGGCATGCATGTGTCGCGGGCAAAGTGGGAATCCGCGCAAAGTTGGAATTCCCACCTTGTCCGGCTGGGCAAGCAGGCTAGACCTTTGTCCGTGGTGTCTATTGGTGCAAATACGCTACTATGGACTAGGGCAATGGATATTGACCAATCACCATAACTTTTACATGAATGTAACGAGAAAGTATAAGACTCCAACAAGCCGCTTGATCCAAATGACAACAAACGCTTCGGAAGTTATGGCAGGTTTTCTTGCGCAAAGTAGCGCAAAACGTGCGTTTTTTCACACCTTGCCGTTGACTGGAAAGAGCAATTTATCATTGCGACATGAAAAACAAAATAAGTCTGTCAGTTACTAATTGAAAGAATCTGAGTTCCTGTATCAAATAACGTGCGATTCAGAAATATTCGTCAATGCATTGTGGTCTCGATATACTTTCAATGTAACGTTTGAATTCGGCCGGTCGTGTTGCTGCGTAGTACTTCACGTTTAGTTGTGACAAAGCAAATGAGCGCTATGTTCTGTTATGGAAGACCACGAGAAAGAAGAGGATAGTATCGTCGAGGAAGACGAAATGACGCCGAAGGATTACGAAGTCAACTGGTAGGTGAATAACACCGAAGACGGCAGTGAAGCCAACGAGCTGCGCAACGCCAGCAGGACGGAGTATGGCCAGGAGATGCAATTCGACTCATCGGAGTGGGAACCCATGCAGTTGGATCCGCTAGGCGCTGGCGGCGTGCTCGTTGAGACGCTGACTGCGGACAACATTGAGAAGAGCGTGTACCTGGATGGAGTTACTAGGATGGTCAGTTTCTGTAAGTTTGTCAAAATTTCCTCTGCCCTCTTCCTAGCCCCATAAATGTGGCCTATTTACTGGACTGCCTCCGTAAACATAGGCCACACATCCACGTGTACAAAAAACGTGTCGCACTTTGCCAAATTTTGATTTTCGCATTTAGGCTTAGTTTGTAGGTTTTTTTTGCTTTAGAAGCATACTCACCCTCTAGGCTAATCAGAAAGTGCTGCCTTTTTCAGATGTATATTTTTCGTGAAATTTCCAGATTCATTTTTACACGTTTGCGTATCAAAATTTCAACATGAAATTTCACAAAAATTAGACATCTAAAAAAGGCAGCACTTTCTGACTAGCCTATAAAGAGGGTGAGTATGCTTCTAAAGCAAAAAATCCTACAAACTAAGCCTAAATGTGAAAATCAAAATTTGGCACGTTTTTGTACATGTGGATGTGTGGCCTATGTTTACGGAGGCAGTCCAGTATATAGGCCACATTTATGGGGCTACCCTCTTCCCTACACAATTTAACCACAATATCAGTGATTGGTTCTCCATCTTTTAAACCGCATAACTATTGATATCACATACCATGCCTTTGTACGCCAAAATACTTGGGGATGACCAAATGATCCTTGTCTAATGACTCAGTCTGTCGGTCAATCGGTCGGTCGGTCGGTAGGGTAAAAGGCAGGCCCTTGGGTCGAGCAAAAATATTGAAAAATGACAATTTTTTTTACTGAAACATGATTTTAATACAATAATTGGTTGTTTATATAATTCTACACATATTCGTAAGGTAGAAATCATAGGTGCTATATACATGAAATCTGTTATTACAATGATCCGAGTAATTGTATTTATGTTGAAGTTTAGATCTGAAATATCTGAACAAAAGTCTGGTTCACAATTTTTTCTCCAAACTGTCCCCAAAAGGTTTTGACATACTATGTCCAAAACAGTGGAACTCAGTGGCACATGACTAGATGTGTGCATCCAAGGTATCAGTTAAAAGAGCTTACAACCCATACTTTATGAGACAAAAATAAAGTGCAAAGTTTATTCACATTATCTCTTTTTTGGGGGTTAACTTTTTACTGGGACTACCTGTACAATCAAAATGAGAGGCACTTCCGCACTTGCAGTTTGATGGATCTGCCTGATTTTCCATTACATAAACACGTACTTGGTAAATATTCAGTTTACATGTGGTTGGTACGAGCAGAGTTGTAACCAAGTCAAGTCACGTCCAAGGTCGAATTTTTCCAAGTCAAGTCAAGTCTCGAGTCAATTTTTCACAAGTCAAGTCAAGTCCCAAGTCAAAAAAATAGCGGACTCGAGTCTGATTCGAGTCCTAGTCAGCAACTCGAGTCAACAACACTGGGTATGAGATAGTCCATTGTTTGCTTCCATCAATATTGAGAGAGTATTACAAGTGGACCGATTAACAAAAAACGTTACCTTTAGGTACATGTATATATGAAATGAGCCATTGCTCTGCCCATTCTGATGACACTTACGGCAATGGTTGAATTGAACAAAGATGGCGATCTACTGTTTGTATACGCCCCTCTGTATCAACACAGACCATGTCACATGATTTTTTAGTACAGTCATTTGCAGTCCCCGGATTCCACTTATGTAAAACTTAGGTAGGTGCTCATATTGATATCAAATGCATTGTTTTATATTTAATGGATCCAAAGGTCTGTAGCTGGTAATATTGCATGCCTAGATCTAGTAGCTCTTTTAATCAGTCAATTAATTTTATTTACATTCTCTAGCTTCCCCTGTTGACATCTTTATGATTCTTTCAAATTACTTTGTGGTCCACGCAGACAGCTCCCATAGACACTCTGTCTTCATTTGTGTGGTTACACTGGGCTAGCCATTTTACCTGGCTTACTACTACCCGTAAGCAGCGGGGTAGCACCAACTATGGGCTAGTTTGGGGAAGCTTTTTCGTTCGGTATTGTTGACAGAATTTGCATCACGGACTGTGAATGTCAGTGATGGATGACCTGAGAAATACAAACCGAATAGACGGTGTAGTGACGTTGAAACGAGGATTAAAAATGGGCTCCGTGCGCCCACAAAAGAGGGTGCGTTTTTACCACTTTTGAGACAAAGACAAAACCTAGACACGACATTAACTGCTTTCACGTTGTAAATTCTGTACTGTGTTGGTTCGCGCGCGAAGAACGCACGACTTTATGTGCCAAAGCTATTAGATGGTCTCCCAGACTAATTCCCGCGCCAAAAACTTTGGATCATTCAAAATACGCAGTGGATGGACCGGTGTAGCGTGAATATCCGACTCCATGAAATGTGGACTCATTGGTAGTACTGCGCACGCGCGAGTACGATTATATGCTATTTTTAAGATCGTTTCGGGAGAGTGACCTGTCACGTGCGAGGGATCAACCAATAATAGGGAAATAGGGGTCCGATTTTCATAGGAGTCGGATTTTCATGTGACACCGGGAACAAGTCTAGGTCACCCCCAACTCTCCTTTCCTGGCAGTTGGAGTGGAACTTGTGCACGGAGCCCATAGGCTATATAAGCATTCTGGCTTGCTGTGTACGCGTCTGCAGGTAAACTAATTAGTGAGTGAATATACCATTGTACAATCAACAGCATAGTC